TTGCGTTGAGTAGCCAGGTCGAAAGCTAGATTGGAATGGGTGTAGTCAATACTCATAATGATGATTCCCATCTTTATCGTCAAAAATCTTCCGAGTAGACCGCTGGACAGAAATGAAAAAAAAATGTAAAGAATAAAATTGCATAACGAAATTGAAACCTCTGATTGCTGCAAGGCAAAGTACATAGTTTGAAAAAAATCTAATTCAAACAATATATTTTTCTTATTTACTATGTGTCGCTGTATAAATGACAGTGTAAATTTTTTTTTTTTTTTTTGAGATATAGAAAAGTAAATATCATTTCTGCTCTTAAATTAAATTTTTAATTTATGATGTTCAATTAGTGCTTAATGATTTTTTCTTATCATTAAAATAAAAATTTACGTAAAGATTAACAGGCGATATGACAAGTTATGAATTATTGATTCTTGTCCAATTGAATAATCGTTCACCAAGGTCAGTCGTTAAAAGACACAAAAGCAATGGCTATATCCTTTTATGGAATTAATCAAGTATTAACAATTTCATTGCCATTGATATTGCCAATTTTTTCTAATGGTAATTAGTGGTTAGGGAACCAAAATCTAATTTAAAAAATTCCAAAATTAGCATCCTAACCAGTGAACGTTATTTCAGAAGGGAAAAATTTCTTATTTTTCACCTTCAAAAACACCAATCGAGAAAAAAATCGGATGTTTAAAATGCACTAATCCGTACCAATACTTGTGAATGAATTATCATTAACAAGATAATGAAATTTATTAATTACCTTATCTATGCCGACGACTATTGATTTTCAATATATCGAGATAAGGAATATTTAGATAATTGATTTATAAAAATTACTTCCATTGACAAGTTAATATTTCTCTAAAATCGTATGAGCGAGATGGAATTTTTATTACTGCCCTTTATGTTACCGCAAGGACAACAAAATCTTTTACTGCAATGGGCTTTACTCTTCTCAATGAGTTAAAATAAGTCAAGATTTCGCTCAATGTTCCTAAAAACGCCAACCGTTCGCGTCCCTAACATTTCAGGTTAAGTGAGGATTGGTGGACAGTGACGAGTACGCAAAAAATGCCAAACATGTGGAAAATGCTGGATGTGTGTTCTAAATCTCTCTATTACCGTTAACGCACACAGATCTTTTTCTGAGACTTGGTTATTTGGATTCAGGTGACCTTTTATTAGGCCATTTGGTATTTTTTACCAACCCCTGACGGCAGAGCTGCCCATCACCCCCCCCCCTCCCAAGCTCGATGGCGCAAGAACCTTCCTGATCCCCTTCTCCTAAGATATTTTATTGCTCACTTTTCTTAAAAACAGATGAAGCTGAGGAAGAATTAGAAAAATCATAGATGATATACAATTGCACTTGCTGCGGTCTGGTCTATGTTTCCCTCTTGTCCCTTAATCCGAAAATTCATAATCCCCATCGAAATTTGACTTCCTCAAAAATTCAAAATATGGCTCTTCAATAACTTTGATGGCACAACTTGCGCCATGAAATCCCCTTCTGAACACCCCTGCATGGCGGGTTCTTTGGCTTGCCACAATTGTTTAAATTCAGGGGGTAAGGTGGATGGGCTAAGGCATGTATTAAACTTTTCGTATTAAAATTTTTCGGGAACTGTAAGTTATTAATCATATTAGGATTTATTATTAATAAATGTATGAAATAAAAACTCGATATTACTAACATCTATCAGTCTTTGTACAGCTGCATGCATATCAGTTCCAACAGTCGAATGTTTGACAGCTTTTGAATCAAGAGTTATTACATTTTTTTTCCTCTAAACCCTGACGTATAACAACGCTGTTTAAACAAGGGATAATGAATAAGTGTAACTACAGACAAGTAGTATATAGAGGAGGATCATTCATAAAATGAATGACCACTAGCAACATTTTAACGTTGTTATACTTACTCATAAGAAATATTCCCTTTCTGAACAATATTAAATTTATTTGTTAGTTCCTTGGCAATAATAACTTCCAATTATTAACAATAAAGACTGTTAACATGTAACGTTAAAAATATACTCGTATTGTTAATAATTGGAAGTTATTATTGCCAAGGAACTAAATAAATTGACAACTTCCCAGGAAAAAAAGAAAAAAGTAAATTTATGTTATTTTCTTGATAGCTTAAATTTTATAAATAATTTCCAATAACCGATTTCCGCAACTTCCGACACTCAAAGACTTTGGTTGCCTTGGCGCCACTTACGTCTATGCGGATATCCCTTAATAAAGAGAATAAAACCCTCATTAAATTCGCGCGTCATCTTCACCAATTGGTATAAATGGAAGTATGAAAATAGATTAAACAAAATAGGGAATACTAAAAAATACATAATGAAGAATAACTGTGGCCTCCTGTTATTCCGAAAGGAGAAAGTGTAGAGACCAATTCCGTGTATTTCTTAATGTAACGTTTTTTATTGAATAAGAAGAAAACGCTCAGAAACTATTCAAGATAATTAAATCCTAAGCACATAGTAAAGTAGATCAAGTTTTCTTTGAGGAGACAGTAGTTAAATTATAATAGCCAAGGTCAATGGTAAAAGGGCCATCCAGGTCTTATACGACCGCAGTACTGCTGCGCACGAATCGGGAATACAGAGAAATGCTGCTCGAGTACGAGCTCTGTAACCGCAGTCGTACTGCAGTTGTATTAGACCTCTTGTAAGTCCCTTTTATCATTGCCCTTCGTAAATTTAATCACTGTTTTCTCAAACAATTGTTGTCTATTTTACGATGGTATATTTAGAATGAAATTATTTTGAACAATTCCTTCTTATTCATTAAAAAAACGTACCCACTATAAGAAAAACATAAAATTGATCTCAAGTTTTTTCTTTAACATCGGACCATGCATCAAATGAACTTTTTTGTTAGAAGTTTTGTCTAGAATTACCTCCTAGAGTTTTACCATTAAGAATTATTACAATAAATTATACAATAATCGTACATATCCATTATATTCATTATCATACATATCATGATTCATTATCAACTGTTACGTTTCTATATAATAAAAAAAATTAACTCATTTTATCTTTTTCTGTTGTAATTTCTTTATAAAATTGTGAACATCCGTAGCGGTGCGCGTATCGCACTACTTTTACTTATAACCACTAGCGGATCCAGGATTTAATTTTGGGGGGGGGGCTTCAGCCCGAAACGTTTTTTTTTTCATAAAAATAACGATAATTACTTTGGAAAAACAGAAAAAAACTAACCACCTATATGAAATGGCGTTTAAGTTATTCCTTAAGTACTTTTAAATGCAATTACACGAACGATAATACTTTAAGAGGTATTTTTTAATTTTCTTTTCCCATAAAACATGATTATATTTTTCCATTTTGGGGGGGGCTTCAGCCCGAAAGCCCCCTCCCCCCCCCGTAGATCCGCCCGTGCTTATAACTTGTACTTTGAGCAGAAATTAATATTTTCATACACAGGAAAAAGAAATTAAAAATTATTTAGATTTTTTTTCTAATAACGGTAATTACTCTGAAAAAAAGATTCGTGAAGGCCTGACTAAAAAAAATATTTTTTCTCTATACATGCTTAAATTTAATAACTGAAATACATGAGTTATACTTTTAAAATAGTGCTTATTTTAATATATAGTGTATATAGTGTAATAAATAGTGCTAGGAAAATATATATATATTGGGTGGCATCAGTCCACCAGCTTTTTCTTCTCCCATCCTTCCCGTGGAACCAAGTGTCAGAGGAACAACAATTTAATATTTAAGCTTCCTAGGCATTGCCATTTTAAAAAATTGTAATAACCGACATAAAACAGTGAGTAGTAGTAGTAGTAATGTAGTATATTTCTTTTATAACAATAGAGTAATTAGAACAAATTGCAAAATCTTGGGGAGAAGCCTAACATTGCCAGCATTATATTAAATATTAATGATTTTCAATTACATGATGAACTATTACTCGATGAACCATTCCTATAAACAATAAATTAATGCGTCTATAATATTTTTTCGATAAAAAGATGTATTATGTCATTGTTGGAGTCCTAATCAGGGCATTCTTATCTACAATAAATTTTATCGATCATTGATTAATCCCACTCGTGACATGTTGCTTATTAAATGGACTGACGTGTGGAGGTTACGTAGGAACATTGATGTTAATGAAATTTATTTTGATAGTACTAGCGAATTATTGTATATATATATATATATATATATATATATATATATATATATATATATATATATATATATATATATATATAGATAGATAGATAGATAGATAGATAGATAGATAGATAGATGTATCTACTTCCCCTCGTTTTCAACTACTTGTTTTAGGATAAATATCTGATATAGCGTACTCCTCCCTCTCCTGAATCATAATCGATGGTCGCATATTATGTTTTAAGAATACGGATATATCCGATTTAGCCGAATATTAGTCATTATTTTATAGGCAACCGGAAGAAGTGCTAAGCCTCTGTAATTGCCACATTCGTACATGGAGCCCTTCTTAAGGATAGGACATATATATATATATATATATATATATATATATATATATATATATATATATATATATATAACGATAATTATTTTGAAAGAAAAAAAAATTAATTACCTATATGAAATGGTGTTTAAGTGGTTCTTGAAGTCTTATTAAATGTAATTAAACGAGCAATAACACTTTCAGAGATAATTTTTTTTTTTTAAGATATATTTTACCATTTTGGGAGATGAGGAGAGGGGCTTATCGTAGATCCACCTGTGCAAGTTCGAAATATAAAAGATGGTTCTCCTTCTTCCTAACAAATGTTAGGAAAATTATTATGATACATTAAGATTTGGGATATATAGGAGAAGGATTGACTTTCAATGTTGAATATTTGACGACTGCTAGAAAAAATTATTCCTGGGTCCTTTGATTTATTTCCACAGCCCTGCTTATAAGTACATATATACTTATGCCACTATTTTCATATATTTCAGGCACGCTGGGATCCATGTTCCAGTTGATGTTAGTGACTGGAGTTATGTACACGTACGTAATTGGAGCTATATTCCCTTATACGGAATTGCCTTTGTTTTGTGGTGTCCTAAACATCATCTTCGTAGTCCTGTTTTTCAAGGCTCCTGAAAGTCCTATCTACCTGTTGCAGAAGGGTCGCAAGGATGAAGCCGAAGACGCACTGATTTGCCTCCGAGGAAAGCAATACAACGTCCACAAAGAGCTAGAAGCAATGGAGGAAGAAATCAACTCGAAGAAAGCTGAGAAGGTGCCCTTCTTGAAAGAGTTGTCGAAAAGGTCCAGCGTCCTTTCCTTGCTGGTATGCCTCATATTAATGTTCTTCCAACAGTTGAGTGGCATTAACGTCGTAATCTTTTTCATGGAGAGTATCTTCCACGACGCGGGCAGTACCCTGAGTCCGGACATATCCACGATCATCGCCGGTGTCGCCCAGATGCTGGCCACACTTGGGTCTACGGTGCTCATCGACTACACGGGTCGCAGGATCCTACTCCAGATCTCCTCGACGGTGATGGCCCTGTGTTTGGCCGTCCTAGGCTACTACTTTCACGAGAAGACTAAAGGATCTGATGTCACACAGTTCGGTTCCATTCCCGTCATTGCAGTGGTTGTCTTCATCATAATGTACGGCATCGGTTTCGGACCCATTCCGTGGTTGATGTCTGGTGAAATACTACCTCCAGAGGTGAAGGGCACCGGATTGGGTATAGCTTCTAGTTTCAAATGGTTCTTGGCCTTTGCAGTGACTAAAGCTTTTCAACCTATCAACGATGCTCTAGGGCCAGCAACCTCATATTGGATCTTCGCTTTAATCTGTATCACTGGCTTCTTCTTTTCTACCTTTGTCATCATCGAGACCAAAGGAAAAAGCCTAATCGAAATTCAAGAGGAAATGTTTGGAAAGAAAGGGAAAAAAAAGAAAACGAAGAAATCTAATGGGGTAGTCTGAGCATAGTCTGCTGCGAGTAATTTATTATCTTTTCACCTGTGATTTTATATATAATGAATTTTTATAAATTTATTTTTATTATTGTTGTTGTTATTATTCCTTTCTATTAAAAAAATTGCTAAAAGAATGTGTGTTCTTATAATTAAGTGAGTTCTTATAATTAGTCTTATATTGGAAATTATGTCATATTGGTAATGGATGCTGAATTCAGATGCAACAATCAACCAATTCGGAATTCAAGGAACGAAGCCCTACTTCCGTAGGAGAATATTTTTTTCTGAAACAGAAATATTTGTAAAATATAAAGTGTTTAATTTTCAAAATATCCGTCATCGGGGAATATGCTTATTCATGCCGCAAGAAAAAGACGATATAAATACCCACTATAAAATAATGGCTTACTATAATCAATTTTATTTTACTGAAAGAATTGCATCTCACCTATTTCTTGAACTACTTTTATAAAAAAGGAAATAATAGAATTAGGATCAACTACTCCAAGAATCAATTTCCCAGATTAACATCACTGTAATCATTGGTGTAATAATATAACGTTATCTGATATTTTTAATTTTTTTTTAAGAAGGAGCTGCATTTTTAACATATCTTGTATATATAAAAAGTTCATTTTAATAAAAAAGTTATTACAATTCATCACATATCATACAAAAAAAGAAATGAAAAATTAGTTATCATATTTCTGAGAACACAGGTAAAAGCACATAAAATTTCACATCGAATTTTTTTAAAAATTTAAATAGAGATGAATATCAGCTTGTTTTGTATTTTTTAATTAATAAGGGGATATAAATGATCAAATATTGGTGACTCTAAAAGGTTGTTAAAATAAAATTCCAAATAACAATAATAAATAGAACTTAACGTTGTTCAACCGTAAGAGGATGTAAAGCACGGGACCCAAGACGCTGCCTTGGGGAACATCGGCTTTAACGGAATGGATATTGGAAAATTCTGTTCCACAGCGAACTCGAAAGGAGCGGTCAGAGAGGAAGGATCGGACTGAGGTAAATGGGTTTTAAGCTTGAAGAGCAGTCCGGAGTGTTAAAGTGAAAACATAATTTATTATAAAATCGATTATTTTTGAACCTCTGTGTGTTAACTATTATAACCTCTGGGTGTGTTATGAGAAATTGAGTTTAACCTTATGTAGATTGCTACAATGTGGTACTTACTGCCTTTGTTGATTATAATGTAATGTGTTTCGGTAATTAAAAGTGAAAAATTATCAGTGAGTGTTTTATTAAGAAATACCTAAACAACCCATAACCTTTTTATTAAGAAATACCTAAACACGGAGTGCCATACCCTGTCAAATGCCTGGGAAATCCCCATTTGAACATTGGATGGGTATTAAACCAGGAGTCAAAAATCTTCGTGTTATAGGATGCAAATGTTGGGTCCATGTTCCTAAAGAAAATAGAAGAAAATTTGATAAAAAGGCTACTCAAGGAGTACTTGTTGGATATGATGGTGACAATGGATACCGAGTCTTCTCAAATAATAAACTAATTAGATCAAGAGACGTCATATTCCAGGAGTCACTCAAAGCACCGATATGTGAAAAATTGTCATTTCATAAAATTGAAGGAAAAGGTATTGATATATATTGTGAAGAGAATCCGGAAGAATATTTGGAAGAAGAAGGAGAATCTGAAGAAATACCTTTGGAAGATCAAGGGGAATCTCATGAAGAAGAAAATGAAGAGATATAGTGTGGAAAAGAGGCGTAAATCTGAGAGGTCAGGATAAAATTAATAAACTTAAATTTATGGATGATTATGTCAACATCGTCGAAGGGAGTGAAGATGTGCCATTGTACGGTGACTTGTACGGTGCGATGAACAGTGAGGGAGCTGAGGAGTGGCAAAAAGCCATGGAAGAAGAAATGATTTCTTTAAAAGAGAACAAGACGTGGACTATCTGTGATTTGCCTAAAAATAAGAGAGTTATTCCTTCAAAATGGGTTTTCAACAAGAAATATAAACCTGATGGAAATTTAGAAAGATATAAAGCTAGGCTAGTGGTAAAAGGATTCGCACAAAAGAAAGGTCAAGATTTTGGAGAAACCTTCAGTCCAGTTGCTCGTCAAACCACTGTCAGAACAGTAATCAGTATTGTTGCCAATGAAGATATGAGTCTGCATCAGTTTGACGTATCGACTGCATTTTTAAATGGAGAACTCAAGGAGGAAATCTATATTCAGCAACCAGAAGGCTTCAGTGACAACTCAGGAAAGGTTTGCAGATTACATAAAAGCCTATACGGGCTCAAACAGGCTCCACGTTGTTGGAACGAGAAGATAAAAAATTTCCTGGTTAGCATTGGTTTTCAAATTAGTACAGTAGATCCTTGCCTATTTATCAAAGATGTGAATGGTAAGAGGATTTTGTTGTGTTTGTATGTTGACGATAGATTGATCGCTGCTTCGGATGAAAGGGAAGCAATGGAGCTCTTAGACAAATTAAAACTGGAGTTCAAAATCGAGACTAAACCAGCTGATTTCTATCTTGGACTAGAGATTAACAGGAGCAAGGAAGGTATAAAAATAACTCAATCTTCTTACATTAGGAGACTTCTCAAAACATTCCAGATGGATGAGTGTCGACCTGTTAGTACTCCAATTTTAAAGGATGATTTAGACAATGAAAAAGAACATGTGGACATCAAGACAACGAATTTTCAATATAGAGAAGCTGTGGGTTCACTTATGTATTTGATGATATGTACAAGACCGGATATTGCTTATTCCATCAACATAGCTTCAAGAACCTATTTAAGAACCTATTCAAGAACCTATGCCATTATTTGATAATCCTTCCGATAGTGACATAACCAGGATCGAAGGAATATTCCGTTATTTAAAAGGGACTTCTGAACTTGAAATTGAACTTGGAATAATGTACAAGAAAAACCATAGAAGCGGAATTCTTCAATGCTACTCTGATGCAGATCTTGGTGGTGACAAATTAACTGGCAGGTCTACAACTGGCATTGCTTGTCTGTATTCGGGTGGTGTCGTATCTTGGTCGAGTAAAAGACAGAGTTCAGTTTCCATCTCTACCATTGAAGCTGAGGTCATCGCTGCAAGTGAGGGTACAAGAGAAATGGTTTGGCTCAAAAGGCTTCTTCAAGAGATGACTGACTTTAAAGAAGGTACGCTTTTTGTCGATAATAATGCTGCCATTAAATTAGCAGAGAACCCTGTGTGGCACAAACGTACAAAACATATATCCATTCGCCACTTCTTTGTCAGAGAAAAGGTTCAAGAGGGAGAAATTCATATCCGGAGAGTGGATACTGCATATCAACTTGCCGACGGGCTAACAAAGCCTGTACTAGGCCCTAGACTGAAGAAGCTAAATAAAGATTTAGGACTGACTTAAAAAATTCTATTTGTGTATTATATTCAATTTATTAGTTTAAATTATTTTAAAAGAAATTATGAAGGAAGGTGTTAAAGTGAAAACATAATTTATTATAAAGGAAGGAGATGGTCGGGGGTTGCGGTCATAAAAAGGCTAAATAGTGGTAAAACTATTTTATTGAAAGCCAACGTTTCGACCCGACTTTGCAGGTCTTCCAAGTCCAGTTCTAAGTGAAACTCCTAGAGGAACACACCTCCCTGATGAAGACCTGCAAAGTCGGGTCGAAAGGTTGGCTTTCAATAAAATAGTTTTACCACTATTTAGCCTTTTTATGACCGCAACCCCCGACCATCTCCTTCCTTTATAATGCAACGGTCAACTATTAAATATTCAATAATTTATTATAAAATCGATTATTTTTGAACCTCTGTGTGTTAACTATTATAACCTTTGGGTGTGTTATGAGAGATTGAGTTTAACCTTATGTAGATTGCTGTACAATGTGGTACTTACTGCCTTTGTTGATTATAATGTAATGTGTTTTGGTAATTAAAAGTGAAAAATTATCAGTGAGTGTTTTATTAAGAAATACCTAAACAACCCATAACCTTTTTATTAAGAAATACCTAAACACGGAGTGCCATACCCTGTCAAATGCCTGTGCAATGTCCAGAAATGCACCCGAACAGTATTCTTTGTTTTCTAGGGCAGAGGAAATATGATCAACAAATCGGAGTCCTTGTTGAACAGTAGAATGTTGACAGCGAAAACCAAATTGATGGGAAGGGATATTTTGGGATTCTATAATGGGTAGGTTTCGTTTCAAAAGTATCTTTTCAAAGATTTTTGTAGGCTAATTGGTCTATAGGATATTGAGCTATTGGGAGGTTTGCCTTGTTTTGGGAAAAGGATAATAGTGGAGTGTTTCCATAATAGAGGAAAGTGGGTGGTGCGTAGGATGCAATTGTAGATATATGTAAGGAATATGACTGCTTTGGATGGAAGTTGTCGAAGGATTTGAGGGGTAAGGAGATCATATACAGGAGCTTTACGGGGGATTAGTTTTTATAATTGAAATTTCACTTCAGAAGGATGAATTGCTTTAGAGGGCAAGAAAAGTAGGATTGGTGATGTAAGGAGTTCTTCTACTGTTACGGTGTGGGCGGGATAGGATTCCGGATGTGAAATAAATGTATTGGATAGGTGAATGGCGAACTCCTCAGCTTTATCTTCGTCAGATGCTGCCCAGGAGCCATCATCTCGTCGGAGAGGATGGGGAATTTTGTGAGGGTTTAGGATTTTGGTTGTTGTGAAGTTAAAGGTTTGTGATCTGAAGGTGGCTAATTCCAGTTTTAATTTTTTGCAGTAATAATTATAGGAGCTGCGGTCGGTAGGATGTCGAGTACGTTGCCACAATAATCTGGTACGGCGTTTGGTGTGGATTAGGTCAAGGAGGTGTTGGGGTAGAATGGTCTTTTTAGGAATTCTTTGGGAGTATTTTCGGAAGGAGGCAGCTTTTTTTTTTTTTTACTATAGGCATAAGATTATTTAATTGAAAAAGAAATCGATGACTGCAATAAGTAATAATACTGAGTAACGTGAATATTTTCTAACAAACTCAAAATTCTAACTATTAGGCTCACCAAATATTTAAATAAAATCTGTACATGTCCTGGGCGGCAAATATTGAGTGTATTTTTTTTTTATTTAATTTTTTAAACTTTATTTCCGTCAATAAAAGAAGATAATATTGTGTAATGCTGGTATCAATTTCGAAATATATCACCTCAATTAATGTTATAAATGTTGAACATTGGTCAGTCCCTTTAAAAAAAAACGGGCCGATTGAGGTTTTTGTTTTGAAAAAAAAAAACGATAAAATTGAGCTTGTCTCTTCTGGCGAAATTCCAAACATCGAAAAGAAACTGCGTAACGGAATTAGTTACATTGCATACAAATACATAAAAGAGCCTGAATGACATTTAAAAAATCATTATCATTCAACTCTATTGTTTAAAAATGTTTGACACAGTTGAAAATGTTCAACAATTAAGATAAAAACATGGTGATAACTTCCATTATGTTACATTATTCCATTATATTACACATATTTCTATTTGACTAAGTGATCCATTCTTTATATTTAATTAAATTTTAATCACCATGACCACAATATTCTCAAGCTCTAAACTTTTGTTAAAGTAATTGAAGTAACCGGTTTATCTGCATAATAAACGATATCTTTAGAAAAATAATGGTCTACCACGTCACCTTAGTAGAACCTATTTTTAGTACAAAAGAATATAACTGCAAATTAATAAATCTCATATTTCTTTTCTATTGGAAAATGCGCTGTATTTTATTGAATAAATAGCTACCTCGGGTGAACTGAACAAAAAAACAAAGCAAATTATTTAACAATGGTTTATTATTTCCAAACAATTATACATCTGAAGTAACATTACCTTCCTAGATACAAAGAAAAGAAATAAAAGGTGATTCCAATTATCGGACTAAACTTTTTTCTTTTATCATTAGTGATATGCTAAAAAAAATAGCATTGCTTCAGTAACACAATCAAAATTTAAAAACCAAACTAAGGATATAACATTTGGAGTAGAACATATAAAAAAAAAAAAACCAGTGACCATATTTTTGCTCCTAATTGTCCAATTTTATCGATTTTTTTAGTAAATTTCGTAAACTTTTAATAAACCATACGATGTTGGCATAAAAGTGTAAAGTTTTTGAGTTATTCGGAATTTAATTTTACCATCCCTCGCAACTTTTTTTCTAGCTTCTTTTCGTTGAAGTATGTTATATAGATAAATTTAAAGGGGGTAGAGAAAATGATTTTAGCGAAGTTTCATTGAAATCGGTACATTCGTTAGTAGCAACGTAACACAAAACACATTTTTTGTGTCTGCCTTGGCTAGCTGTCTCAAGTTGTTACTCGGATGAATTAATGAACAAGCAAAATAAATCGGCAATTTTTAGGCTTGTTTGATGTAATTTTGTTTACTATAATTGGTACATAATAAGGTTCTTTTAATATTTAATATAATTAATATAGCTATCGAATGATGTGACCGTGACGTTTTGTGTTTTATGAGTTTGATTTTTCACACTTATTTAATGGCACCTCGTCATTTCAAAAACAGAATTTTCCATACCTTATATTGTATGGATTGCCCCAGTATGCCATATATTTTGAAAATGACCTCCATTTTAAGATTACGCCATTGCGTTTCAACTTATTTAAGTTTTTTTAATTTATTTGATATAAGGATCTACTTTTAGGTTTCCGGAGCCGTAGATTTTGAAATTACCTCCATTTTACTATTGCGCCACTGCGTTTCGACATATTTAAGTTTTTCTTATTTATTCGAAATGAGGGTGCATTCTTATGTTTCTGCAAACGTATATTTTGAAAATGACCTCCATTTGAATTAATGAATTAATTATGAAAATAGATTTTTATTTATGAAAAGTACTGCTTATTATGATACCAAATATTTATTTATAATCCTAATATTTACGTTATTACTTATTTGTAATAATATATCGTATTTATTATTACGAAGAATGGAATATAAAAATCACATGATTTTTTTAATCCAGCTCGATATTAATCTCTTGTTTTTCTAAAACAAAGATCACCATAATTATTATTGGCTAAACCTTATTAAACAAACAAGATTTTCTAAATTTCTATCTTTAGTCCAATAAGATATGGATGGGAAAAAATCGGTAGTAATCTATGATTAATGAAAAACAGAATTTAGCTTAGTATAGTTGCTTAAATGTTCCCTTTCATGTTAAGCTATTATGTTTTCAATAAATATAAAATCTACTTATATTTCAAAGAAATTATGTCTAGTTTTTTATAAAGAAATTGTTAATTACCTAAATTAAATATTTTTTCGGGCTATAGTTTATTTAAATTCTAGCTCTTGAGGTCTACCATTACATCTTTAAATATTCCCCTTTAATTATCGGAAGAACTACTTGTATTTAGTGTTTTATCATACTTTATATAATTATTTTTTAATTCTATTCTCAGCAAATTATGAAATAATAGCAATATTATTTATAAGGATTAAGTTAGCTGAAAAAAAATAAATAATACACTGATTTAGTTATTACGATTTTTTATTTTATTTGTTTTCCTACGGCGAGTTGGAAATCGACGAAAGCCATATATCCATGATCCCAGGTGAACTGGAGCAACAGTCATTAAAAAACACCACAGTTTCTCAAAGCGCATTAGATGTTTTTTGGTATAATCGGAAAGAGCTGAAGCTTCTTAAAATATTTAGCATAATTAATATAGCTATCAACTGATACAACCATGATGTTTTTTGTGTTTTATTAGCTAGATTTTTACGCTTGTTTAATTGCACCTCTTCGTTTGGAAAACAGAATTTTCTCAGTATGTCCAGGACTGCCCAACAAAGAGGTCATGGATTGTGGTTTTTCCTTTTATTTTTAATGTGTTTATAGTTTACGTTTATCTTTTTTAAAATCCATTTGTTAATAATTCTCACTTTTTTAAGATTAACTGACAAAATAAGAAATTGTAAATTGGAACATATATTTCTTCTCTCTTTAAAAGAACGTTATTTCTACATGAGAATTTCTAAATGCCTTGAAAATACTTGAATGTATCCAGGCCCTTCAAGAACTTCAACAACCTTGCACATTATTCATTTTTTTTCTACAGAAGCGAGCCATGACAATTATCAAGTAATTATATATTTTTTAGAACTTGCAAATATTTAATTGAAGAAATTTGTTGTCTCCTGTTCTTCGTCATCATTTCGCAATAGATAGACCTTAGGACATTTGTGCCCTGTTTAGACGGAAGTTGGGAATTAGCAAAAGTCTTCTCATTAAACTTTTCAAAACATTATAGTTTTCTTTCTGGAATGAAAAGTATTTTGGAAATGGAATTTTCGATAAAGGTAACAAAATAAATATCTCAGTATTAGTAGCAGACAGGTTACTATTATTACCAATTTTTTTTTTTATCACTATCCAACTGAAGTAAAGTTACCGCACTTTGATAAAAACTTGTTTTGTTTTTTTTACAGGTTTTAAGTCTATATTAATTAAGTTGAGGTTTCTTAAAGAATAAGTTGAGATTCACTTCTTGTGTAAAAAAGGTTATCGTATTTTATATTCTGTTGATCAGTGTTTTCACAAATAATAACTACAATAAATTATTAAAAATAATTAATAACCGAAAGTTGCTCTCATTACCAAAAGGACAGTAACAATTTAAGATAATCGCTTTTTATTGAAAATTAATATTTCATAAAAAAAGAAACTCGTCAATTACATGAATCAGCTATAGATATTATATACTATGATATTAGAATTAGATATTAGATATAAACGGAAATATTAGTATTTACTTCACCCAATATAAATACGATGAATTTAGATAATAGAGATTTGTTTAAAAAACACTGGTGTATTATCACTTTTGATGGTAAATTTTTGAAAAGCAGTATTTTCTTTAACATATTTCTTTATAATAAAAAAGTATAACTATTCATTATAATACATCACAGGGAGTGAAAAAAATCAAAGCTTTGCAATAATTTATCATATTTACTTTTGCTAAAGCACAGGAATGATCGCATAATTATTTTATAAAATGAAGATGAATCAACAAACCTCAACTTAAGTAATATGACTTCAAGGCTCATTAAACAAGAAAACTCTTCTAAATGTGGGTTACCTATAGCCCAATTGAGGGGTATTAAATAAAAATTGCAAATCATCCACGATATTATGAAAAAAAAAATCTGGTGCGCGCATCACACGACTTTCACTTGCCACCTTCTTCTTAGCAGAAATAAGTATTTTCAAACAAAGTGGAAGTGAAAGTAAAAATCACAGACGCTATATTTATTTACATTTCATTTTGGGCATTTTTATTTGTTTAATTACTCTTATATTTACAAATTTTAATTGTTATATTGAAGTAACCTATACAATTAAATATTAAATAACACCAACGACAGCATTTATGAAAACCGCATATGTATATGTATATAATATTGTTGGAGCCCATATTATAGGTCATGTCATGTATGAAAGCCTGTTCTAATCGTTCGGGTGAGGTCGGGTGCGCTTGTTTTCCATTCGTCCCTCCATTACAACTATTATCCGCTACGATCTCTCATTTCTCCTTTAGTTAATTATCAAATTCTTTCATATTTTATATTAAACTATTTTTTATGTCAAAGATTAATGTTAAATGTTTAATTATTTCAAATAAGAAAATTCAAGGTACTTTAGAGGAAGCTAATATTGAAATTAGGTATTCAATCCCTTTTAGAGAACATCGATGAGAATAAAACCTAAATTATATCAAAAACTGTTTAATAATACACTGATATACCGAGTTTGATCAAAATCGTTAGAGCCGTTTTCGAGAAAATCGTAAAAATGTGTAACATCAGTTATATAAAGTGGCACTTCCGGTTAGCCGATTTTGGCGAAAAAGTCGCTGTAACATTTTGCGTATATACAAACCTTAGATATGCAATTCCACTTTCATAAGACTTTTTTTTTTTTTGAGCTAGACTGGTCACATACATACACACAGACAAACACACACACATACATACTATGTTGCGGGATTTGGTTATTTCGACTCAGGAGACCTCAAAACATGTATTCCGTTGAAAACTGAGATTCGAAAATTTTCACGATCACAATAGTGTCCCTTACTATATATTTCATATATAGGTAAGTGAAAGTAATACTGCTTGTTTATCGGCTTAAAACACTCCTTCAAACGGTTTTAAAGAAGACAAATTCTTTTTGTATTTGAAGGAAGTTTTATCTAGTTTATTATAAGGCTTTATTTATAAATTACCTTAATTAGATATTTTCGTAGTTATCGTTTCAAATTCATGAAAAACTTGAATTCCTTTAAAAACTCAAAACCTAAATTTCCTCTTTTTCTTAGAAAAATCGAATCATGGTTTACTAACATGGTTTATGTTGCCGTTGAACTCTTATGGAACACTATATATATATTTGGTTTATCCTCATTCTTAATAAATTCATGTTCTAAATCTATTTTCAGCAAATTATGAAGTATTAACAATATCATTATTTGTTAGTGATTAAGTTAGTTGCAAAAATAATATACTAATTTAGTTATGTAATGATTTTTGTTTTTTCAGGGAGATGGAAAGCGACGACAGATGTACGCGCATGGTGCCAAGTGAACCGGAGCAGGAATCGCCACAGTTTCTAGTGGCATTGGCAGGTTTGTTTCTGTATCTTAAGGATGAGTAAAGACGATGGACCGTGATAAACTTTTGGATGCTAATGATACTTTTGGTTTCGATTTTTCCATTTATATTGTAAATGGATGATAGTTAAAAATAATAAATAAAAGATTAGATTCTTCCAGTGTTGTGCAAATATACAATACGAATAAATAAAAGGCTTAGCGAACCCGAAGGTTCGATGCCGACACCACCAATCGCTGTCTACACACCTTCCCCCTCCACCGTTCGCCGTCCAAACCCAGTCCCTTCAGATCGGCTTTAATGCAATCTTCCCACCTTCGCTTCGGTCTACCCCTCGGACGTTTACCATTCGGTACAGCAAATATTAACCTTTTAAGAATTCTCTTGTTACTAATCCCAACAATTTTAGAAGCCCATTTGATTCGCCGCGATGAAATTACCTCAATTATATTACTCTGATACAGTTCACGCAATTCGGCGTTGTGTAATCGTCTGAACTCTCCGGTTAACTCATCCTTCTTGGGTCCAAATATTCTACGCAATACTTTATTTTCAAAAACCTTAAGACGCTGCTCATCCCTTAATGTAAGCGGCCAAGTTTCGCATCCATAAAGAACTGTAGGTAAGATAATGGTTTTATAAATTCTAATTTTCAAGTTCCGGGACAAGAGGCGCGAGCTAAGTAGTTTTGTCACAGAAAAATAACAACCATTTCCCGCCTTCAGTCTAACCTTAATCTCTTCGTCAATTTCGTTTTTTTCTAGTTATCGTAGAACCTAGATACCTAAATTTCTTCACCTGTTCAAACATATTACCATCTATAACGATATCACCAGTAGTACCGCCATTCTTGCAGCTAACCATATATTTTGTTTTATCCGCTTCGATTTCGAGCTCTCGTTCTTTACTGGCTTTCATTAACGTTGTCGTATTTAGTTTTATAGTTTCCATGTCTTCGCTCAAGAGTAACAGATCATCAGCATATCCCAGCACGGATATTGTCCCATACAATACGAATACATGGCACTTTAAAATTCTCTAAATATTTTACTAAAAAATATTATCTAGGATTTGTTTTGTTTTTTCCAGTGAACATAATCGTGTTCTCTGCAGGAGCTACGGTGGCTTGGAGCTCCCCAGCGCTGGCCAGAATGAGGTCTCCTAACGCGACGCTGCCGTTGACAGCTGAGGAAGCGTCTTGGGTCGGATCCATCCTGGCTATGGGGGCCTTCCTCGGCTCCATCCCCGCTGGGTCGATGGTGGACTTCTTCGGCAGGAAGGTAACCTATAAAAGAAGTCGCTGCAACTGGTTCTATTGCTTACGTGAACGAAAAAGTGTTTATATACAATTTTTTTTTTTTTAATTTAGGTTATTGTTATTGTTCATCAACGACATGTTTAACTTTATTTTATTTGTAGTTACTTATTTATGAGTTTGGATCCCTTTCGCGGAATTTCTCAAGGAAAATAATGATAATGATAAATAAATTGAAATAAAAAATAAATACAATAAGAGCATCCTTAAGTGTATCGGGTTCGATTCCGGTCTGGGTGGGCTGAAACTTATTTCGTGGTGGACTCATGAAATTAATCTCGACCTTCCCAATCTGGTTAGAAAAGATTTGGGTGTTCCTCTAGAACAAACCTTCACTATCCGTATAATAAATATAACTTTTCACTACTGTTATAACTACTACTGTTAAATTATTACTTCATAACTTTTTCAGTGGGTCATTATGAGCATATCAGTTCCTATAATGATATCCTGGATTCTGGTGTATTGCGCAACGACAGTCAACATGATCTGCATCGCTAGGTTTATTGCAGGGATTGCCGTGGGTGCTGTGTATGCCACGGTTCCAGTGTATCTTGTCGAGATTGCAGAAGACAGCACTAGAGGTATGCTAATTTTTCATAAAATCCGGATTAACAAAGATAATTTTATTAAAGCAATCCTTGAAGACGGATATTAGAATGCATAGTTCCTACGTTAGTAATACAACGGAATAACGGTTGTGATTCCGTTGTAGGTTTGTCAATAATAGAAAGTGAATAATGATTGTACCAGATTATCTGATCTTATGATTTATATATTAAATATATTTTAAATTTTTGTAGAAGCTACCTGTCTTCGTTAGGAAGATAAATGCGGCACCTGTAATTTCCAGGTATATGTGGTGATTGCATCTACAATTGATTATAAATTCCGCATTAGCAAAGATAATTTCATTAAACCAATGCTAGAAGACGGGTTTTAGGACGCATTTTAGCTACTACAAGAGTTATTTGTAGTAACTAAAACGCTCCCTAACACTCTAAAACCCGTCTTCTAGCATTGATTTAATGACATTAAGTTTGTTAATACGAACTTTATGGTTGTGATTCTGTTGTGGGTTTGTCAGTAATGGAAAGTAAATAATGATTCCACCAGATTATCTAGATTGTCTGACTAGATTTTCCTGTCACCGTCAATATTCCACTTTAATGCGGTTTGGTGTATACCGGCCCCGATTTGCGCAAGCTTGCGCTTGCTTGAAGATAATTTTAATAGCCTCCTCCTCCCTCTCCCCCCACAAATATTATAAAATATTACTTATTCATGCTTGTTTATAATCAGTTGTTTAATGGCACAGACTCTCAGAGCCATTTCTTTCCATTGAGGGCCATCGACCAGAGTCTGAAGTTGGCATTCCTTACCAAGAAGAAACTCATGTGAATGGGAAAATAATTTACTTGCTATTTAACCACTTTAACTTTTTAACTTAACTAAAGATTTTCTCTTCTTTTCTTTCAATTTCAGTAGCCCTATTTTGGTTCTCGCATGTAGTATTTTAAAGATTGACTAATTCCATATCTATTTAACAAAATCGCTGGCTTTTAATACTAGTGAAATGGTTGAGGAAGAAGCGCAGGGATCTCCTGAAGCCCTGCTTTCCCTCCACATGTGGGGGGATAAGTATGATTCGGAGTTCCCATGGCCGACTGTAAATAGTGTAAATAGGTATGCCTGCATCTAAGATGTTTATTTTCATTATTTTTTTTTAAGATAATTTTAATTCTATTTTATTCATTTATTTTCATTCTATTATTTATATTTTCTTCCTTCACTATGATATTTTATTTTGTTCTTTAAATTATTTGAAATTAGCTTATTTTTTTGTAAATATGGTGTAAATGTGCTCTCAGAACTCTATTATAAAAGTCCTTTATTGAGACAGATTGTAATATTTATCAATAAACAAATAATCAACTCAATTTAACAAAATATGCACATGGCAAGCTAACGTATTCTGTGCAATACAAAAAAAAAAAAAAAATTGGGAAAACAGGACAGATTGATGTCAGCTGTGATTTTTTTTTTTTTTTTTTGGATCAAGTGCAGAGATCTGGCAGCCCAAGATAAAAGCGCGGAATGGTGGCGATCGATTAAGTTTACTTGCTTTGCTACATCTTTAGATAACGACATACCTAGAGGCAGAGGAATGGCGAAGAATTAAATATTCCGCATTTATGGAGATAGGTTTGCTAGTAATTGTGGTTTGCAAGATAACAGACATTCGATGTTTGGTTAGCTGTTTAGATGTTTTAGGCGCAAAACATCTAGGTCATTAGCAGCTTATCCATAAAATATTATTATTAAAATATTTGCTGATAATATTAATTAAGCAGCAACAATGTAAGAACACAATTAATCGAATACTTTGTCGCAACAGATTTTGTCAATTATTTCTGTTCGCCAAGAACTTTAGATGATCTATGCATTTCTCCTAAAATATTCAAGTAATAAGAGAGACAGCTGCGTAATAATTTTAGTGGATTTCTAATTGTGGCAAGGAGCACCCTTGCCACCAACGAGATATGTCTCTGTCTTCAACTATAATAGTTGTCTTAATGCAGCAGATCCCTGCTCCAGAGGCGTTTGGGTCTCCTTGGTGGATTCTGTGGTAGTGTGTCTGTTAGTAATGTTTGTATAAGTGGATTATGATGTCCAGCTAAGGAGTCATACAAATTTTTGTAATATGTTTTAGTTACATCAGTCACTTGTGGTGTTTGTAGGTCTTTATTAAGTGATTTATTGGTTATGTAGAAGGAACAATGAGTAATATGCGGTCAAATAAATACTAAATTAAATAAATAGTATTATTTAATTTTTGCCGACGTTTCAATCCACTTTCCAGGTCTTCATCAGGGCTACAAAAGATACAAAACATGGTGAAAATAAAATAAATGAATTTAAGTAGATATAAAATAAGGTTAAAGGATGCGGGGAGGATATCGAAGAACTTCAGCCTATGTCACCCACTATATCTCTGATATCATCTTTTTGTTTCTGTATCAGACAACTTCTTCTTATTTTATATCTACTTATATTCATTTATTTTATTTTCGCCATGTTTTGTATCTTTTGTAGCCTTTTTTGGGGGGGGGAGGGGGTTCTCCCCTTCCTCGCCGTTAAGGCTATACGGGGTTTTCCCGGGCCAGGGGGTTTGTGCGGGGATTTAAAAGACTCCCTCGGCACCGGGATGCGAAATCGTGACTATTTTTATATCATTAGGTTCATATGTCAGGTTGCCGGGCAACGGCGGTGCTGTGCACACGCTTTAGCCCATTCGGCCACCCCGCCCACAACTTTTGTAGCCCTGATGAAGACCTGCAAAGTGGGTCGAAACGTCGGCAAAAATTAAATAATTCTACTTGTTTAATTTAGAATTAATTTGACCACACCCCCCGATCAACTCCTTCTCATATTATATTAACGGCCAACCATCTCTACATCATTATGGATGACTTTTAATGTTTTTCTATTAATATTAATATTTTTTAGGTTCCCTGGGAGCGATGTTCCAATTGATGTCATCTAATGGAGGACTGTATGTATACATAATTGCAGCTATATTCCCTTATACAGAATTGCCACTACTTTGTGGACTCCTAAACATTATGTTCTTAATATTCTTTTTCAAGGCCCCTGAAAGTCCTATCTATCTAATTCAGAAAGGTCGCAGGAGTGAGGCCACAGACGCACTTATTTATCTTCGAGGAAAACAACACAACATCCACAAAGACCTTGAAGAAATGGAGGAAGAAATCAACTCGAATATAGCAGAGAAGGGAACCTTCTTAAAAGAGCTGTCGAAAAGGTCCAACGTCCTTTCCTTGCTGGTATGCCTCACACTAGTGTTCTTCCAACAGCTCAGCGGCATCAACGCCGTATTCTTCTTTCTAGAGGGTGTCTTTCAAGACGCGGGTACTTTTGAGCCGGCGATACCCACGATCATAGCCGGTGTAGCTCAGACGATAGCCAACTTCCTATCTACGGTGCTCATCGATTTCACGGGTCGCAGGATCCTACTCCAGATCTCTTCGACGATGATGGCCGTCTGTATGGCCATTCTAGGCTACTACTTTCACGAGAAGACCAAAGGGTCTGATGTCACAGAGTTCGGTGCTGTACCACTCATTGCGGTGGTTGCCTTCATCTTTATGTATAGCGTCGGTTTTGGACCAATCTCGTTCCTGATGTCCGGTGAAATACTACCTCCTGAAATAAAAGTCACCGGGCTGGGTATAGTATCCAGTTTCCAATGGATCTGTGCGTTCGCTGTGACTAAGGCTTTTCAACCAATCAACGATGCTCTGGGACCAGCAACATCATATTGGATCTTTGCAGCCATTTGTGTATTAGGTTTCTTCTTTTCAACCTTCATCATCATCGAGACAAAAGGAAAGAGTTTCCTCGAAATTCAAGAGGAAATGTTTGGACAGAAATATGAGAGAATAAAAATAATAAAATCGAACGGAATTATCTAACGCTACTAATTTATTACAAACAAAAATAATTTTTTTCCGAGACAACTTAAGATTAAATATGTTTACTTTAAGGCTTTCAAGGTTTTTTATCTCTCTTTATCTTTCAAATACTGTTGATTTCTTTATTTGCATTTCATTTCACTGTTCCCGGTGCATTTTTTTTTTTTTATTCTACAGAACGGTTTTGATAATTCGATCAGAATGTTCGGTTTATCAAAGGCTATATTTAAAATGATGGAACAATTGCAGAAGGGATCGAAAAAATATATATTATCAGTGAAACATAAACACATTACCATAAAAACAAGAACAATTTTTAAAATGATTATATAACAAACGAACGTTGAGTCTCTGATTTTGTCGCTAAAGAAAATACCTGATTCCGCAAATTCTTAATAGTAATTTGGCAGTCGGCTTTGTTACTATTCGTTCCTCTCCAAGCTAGTATCAAATGCTTTTATTTTGTTTCTACGATTTATCTCTAATGAAAAATAAAATAGGTGTAAAGAAATTTTTCAGTGAAATAAAAAACAACATTAAAAATTTGTTAGATATATAATTTATTTTTTTAAATAATAATCAGCCACTGTTGGAGTGCAATAAGCATTAAGACTAAAATTTCTCATTCATACAGAATATACAAATAATAGAGAAATAACTATAAATATATCTTTTTTAGTAACATAGTTTAATATTAATATTTTTAAAAAATGTGTATTTATTGGTTTATGTGTATTTATTTATGTACATTGTTGACAATTTTATATTTTATATTAATTTGATAATTGAAACTATTTCAACTGTCTGATCTTTACCGAATATGATTTTTAATTTATGCTCATGAGTGTTGTAATATATGTTATGTAGTATAAAGAGGAATTTGTATTTCGGTAAGGATAATAATGTTTATTATTTTGTGATAGACTCCATTTGTATAGGGTAATACCCTTAAATCAAATAAAGATTGAATTTAATTGAACGTATCTTTTTTAGAAGTTATCAATCCAAAAATGTGTTTTATTATCCTTCTTAAAAAGTTATTAAAGAAAAACTTTGACTTTTCAGTTAACGTATTGGACACTCTGGTTACCTCTGAGACAAAAACCACATATTAAAGAGATTCCTCAACTTCTGGACGACCGCCTAGTGTTAATGTAGTAGACGCCTAGACCGTCCTGTATTCCTATCCGGAGAAAATTAACTCTTCACAATTTGAACTACTAGTAACAAAAGAAACAACAAGGTATCTGCTTTAGACCACACGATATAAGTGAAAACACCAACAAGGCGACATTAATGATATGAAATATAAATTACAAATAATAGCTCATTATAAAGAGGATGAAATGTTGAACATTTCCTTCGCTTACAGTATACAGGTTCAATTTTTAGTTTCTGAAATATTTTAATCCATACCTGCCATAAAACTCGTTATCATTTAGTTTTCGACACTATTTTTTCCTTTTCTCCTCTCTACCACCTATAACCTATTACAGAGAGAGTGAAATGCTGACTAATTTCCTTTCTTGCAGTAAGCAGGTCTGGTTTTTAGTTAAGAAGTAAAGAAGTTTTCACTTCAAAAAACCTTTTCAAATAAGACCTTTCTCGAATTTTATAAGTGATGCGTATGATTTTGTTTTTCTTCCGGCTATACTGGTTAATAATAATAATTACACTGATAAATATTTTAAATTATTAAATTAACGAAGCATTCATATTGAAAATTGAAATTGTCGAAACATCAAAATTTAAATTCAGAATTAAAATTAGAATTCCTGAACAACCGTTAAGAAATGATAATTTTATAATTAACGTGGAGATATTGTTGATCGTGGTATAATTATTATTGCGAATAACAGTAAAGATAATTAGATAACTATATGTAGTAATTAATGCCTTAGTAGTCTCAATTAATAAAATAATTTATTATAAAAATATCGAAATTTTCGCCACTTCGAGCATCTTCAGGGATCCAATATGATTTTATAACATTACATCAATTTTCATCAGAAAAATGTTTAAAGGATTTCTCAAGCGACTTACTGGCAGATACTAGTCCATTGATAAGTTCAATAAAAGCTTTTCAAAAAAATTATTACGAGCCAAAACTATGTAGATAAAATATATAAAACCTACTTGCGTAAGGTGACCAGCTTTGCAAACCTAGTCCTGAATAAACAGAATAAGACCAATCCTTTCAGAGAAGATTTTTAATATATTTTTCAAATGAAAATTGACAAACTGTTTTAAGATCAGATTATACCCCTGAAGATGCGTGAAGTGGCGAAAACTTGGATAGTAAGTTATTTTATTAATTGTGGATGTAATTTAAAAAGTTGGTGTGGGAGGATAAAACAACAGACAATAACAAGTAATAATAACCATGAATTGACGTCATGTACATATAAGAATAAAAAAATAAAATAAAAACACAAGAAAAAGGCCATGGTTCGGTCATGTCGTTAAGATGATGGAACATAGTAACCCGTTGAAGACGATGGACTACCGGGTGGCAGAAGACGTCAAAGACGCCCAAGAATTTCTTATCCAGAATATATCGATAGACTTGGCAGAGGAAGAGGCAACGATCTACGTCAGGCCTGGAAGCAAGGGACAGAGAAGAATGGAATCGTGGCTGTGCACTCCACTAAGATGAGAGGGGCAAAAGAGAGAAGCGAAAGGAGAAGAAGAAAGGAATAAGATGTGTGGTAGTGAAAGGTGAAAACGAAAAATAGTTTTAGGCAAAACCCGAGTTCCAAATTAAAATGATGAAGCCTTAGATAGAAACTCGCTAACAATAGAATAATGGTAAAATTGGATTGAAGTGGAATAAACACTTCAAAAATTAAAAGAATTGTGGAATAAACTTCAAGTTTGATAGAAAAGATTTTCATGAGTAGTGTTATATATTTTGATTAACGAGGATAAAATGTCCTTAGTTGATTTATAATAAATATCACAAAAGTTGGCTGGTTAAGAATAGTACAAAAGTAGTATACAGTAGCAGGGAAAAACAAATAGATCAAAGATAGTTAAGATAATAAACGATAATTTATACAAGAGTTATCAAAAACAAAAAAAAAAATAGAAAAGAATGTTGGGATGTATAATAGTGGGTTGTTTATGATTTAATAAATTTGAAAATAGGCCTTGTTTGTCAGCTCTTAATTTCCGGGAAGGAATTCTAATTACATTGGAAGAAAGGAGTCCCACGTCATGGTTTGAAACAGTAACAAAGATGGAAGTCTTGTAAAAATCGTTGATGATCGAAAATTCATTTTAGTTTAATAGCATTTTAGTAACTATGAAGTTACCAGGGTCAAACATTAATTTAAATTATTATTTTAACTACTCTAATTTTCTACATTTTTATGTGATTTACAATTATACAAAACAAAACAAATCATTAAACTAACAGTTCATCCAAAAAAAAAAAAGGAATCTGGAGTGTCCACTCACACGACTTTCCTACCTATTTTAGAAAAGTTTTTATATCTTTACACATGTTCATGAAGAAACAAAAAAAAATTGAACTTGATTTATTTTATTGAACTTGATTATATGAGGAACTAGATTTATTTTCCTGAAAATTGATCAAAGAAAAGATTTGAGTACGATTTATTTAATAAACTAAAGCAATGTAAACCGGCTTAAGGTAGATCAATGTAAAAATTTCAATACTCACTAATATTGCTGATCAAAAACTTTTTGTCATAGCTTAGTATTGTCAAACACTAATTTCTGTTAGAAGTAGAGGAAATAGTGAAGGTTGTGTGATGCGGGCAACAGATTTTCTTACTTTCACTTAGTCATCTAAAAATGAAATCTTTAGTCATTTAAGAATTAAATTTCTCATTCATCCCTTTCTGACACCAAGAAACGAACCAGTAATGTAACATTGGAAATTGAATAGCTGTAACTTCGTTAATAGTTGTCCAAAATAAACGATTTTTATATGGCTTTGTAGGGAATTTCATTACCTTTCAAACGGCGTGTAGTTCCCGAAATCTTGCCGAAAATCTTGGCACAGACAGAGAGACAGACCAATGGCTAAAAATGTGTTTTTCGGAATCATTAGGCTCTGAAACGTATAGATCTGTCGAAAACCGCATGTCGGAAATTTGACCCGATTGCAATACTTTGCTTACCTAGTATAGGTAGGAAAGTAATAAGTTAAAAAATGTGTAAAAAATAGAATAAGCTGTATCAAAAATCGAGAAAATGTTGACACAAACAGACAGACAGACCAATGGCTACAAATGTGTTTTTCGGACTCTGGGTGCTCTGCAACGTATAGATCCGTCGAAAACCGCATGTCGGAAATTTGACCCGATTGCAATACTTTCCTTACCTAGTATAGGTAGGAAAATAAAAAATGAATGATTTTATTTATTATAGACTGTTTCAAAACGGTTCATTATTACTTTTCTTTTTTCTATTGAGAATATGCTACAAATTTTAAAGGAACAACATTGAAGACAATTATATATAGTGTTGGATAAATATTTTCATAGCTATGAGGAAAATCTGAGAGGGGGAGGAGAACACCAAATAAAATTTATCAGTAACCAGTAAAAATGATCCGAAGGTCCAGTGTTGTTGTTTTTAAAATGATGTCTATACATTTACTAATATTTTAAAAACTGAGCGGTCCTAGTATTAAGTTAAGGTGGTTTCGAAATGTACACATATATAACTTCATCCCGCCTAAAAGAATTATTAATTTCAGAATTAATTTTGAATGTTACAAACATAATGTAATGAGAAATAAATATGATAATATGACTAAATTTCATATGACTTTGATATGACTTTTTTTCAAATTGTTAAAAAAATTATAAGATAGTGTAAAGATTCCTTGAGGAAGTTAAGATAGATTAACTTCGAGTGTCTACTAAATATTGTGCATCTGAACAGTAAAATACTTAAACAAATTCAATTAATAATTTGAATCAAAAATGACTTGAACATATTGCAAATTATTATGATGAAATAACTAACAGAATTAACGCTGTCTGCATCAAAATCCTACCTGTAACATAAATGTTATTTTTTAAGTTTTGAGGTATGCTGAACACGAAACCTAAGGAAGAAAATCTGTATCAGGCATCACTTCATGTCAAATTTGTGTTGTGGGTAAAAAAATTAGGTGTTTTTGTAAATTTTCTGTATTTTTTTAACATTCGAAAATTCAATAAAAACTGAAAAAAAAATTATTTGATTTTGAAGGTACTACAACATGAAAAAAATCCGTTCTCAAGCGAGATCTTTCAAAGAGCTTAAGTGTCAGGCAGGCTTCATGATTTTTTTAGCCACATTTCTGAGCTCTATTTAAGGACCTGGAATTCAAAGAAAAAGTTAATTAAAATTATAAAACAGCTTGATCTGAGTTTGAGAACGCGTTTTTATCGGGCAATAAAAGAATTACAAATCACAAATAAATTGTTAAAAAATTATTTTTTCATATTAGGCCATAGGTTACATAGATCGTGTCGTTAAAAATTCATTTTTTTCACTCTCATTTGGATTTCTTCTTTTCAACTTGGGAGCAGTTTCAAATGAATAAAATAATTCATCAAGATATAGCCCAATGGATAAGAGGTGAATGCAATGAGTAGATGCTTGTGCTGACTGTTGTTGGACACTGCAATGAAAGACAGCTGATGAACACTACAAAAGGAAACAAATGTACGAATTGACAAGACCTAAAGTTATATTATGTTCAGGATAAATATTTTATATATCATTATTATTATTCACAAGAAAATAAATAACATAAGCATGATATTTCAGTTTTTTTTTTGTTTTTTTGAGCAACCTTAATTTTCTCAACATGCTGCCTGATAGAATTTTCAGATTCGACTCAGAACAGATGAAAATATATATATATATATAGGAAAAATTTCTCAAGGGCGAAAAACAATTTTTTTTTTTTTTTTTTTTTCAAAGCAGCCTAATGAGAGGTGGCATTGTCACGAATTAAAGTTCATTTTATTTTTAACAGATATTATTGGCTTGCAGAATGATTTGTGGTAAGCGACTGTTGGTAGAAACCAATTTCATGAGATTACAACTAATGAAATATTAAGCAAATATTTATGTTATGCAATTAATTTTATAGATAAATCTAATCTCCACCAATTACTTACATACTTCAGAATACAATAATATATACATTTTAATATTCATTCAGACACAAAAAAATTAATTTTTATTTTTTAATTTAAATATAAATAAATGAAACCCAATTTGTGTTTATAATTACAATTATAAAGCTGAAGAAAAATATTTTACTACGTTAAAATAAAAAAACATTCATAATGCAATTCATTTTAACTATCTTTCAATTAAAATACCGGAAGGTCATTTTACAGTTTCCCAATCAAAATAGATATTTAAAAAAATATAAAGTAAATTTTGGCTATACAAGCGAATCACTCCTTAAAATAACCGTGTTTTAAAATGAAATTTTGATCTTACGACTGTGATAATTTTTTCTTCTTCTTCTTTAACTTTCCTCTTTTGCCTTTTTTCTAGAATTGTAAAATCGATCTTTTTAAAATTCGTTTTACCTTTTATCTTTGCACGACAGACTAGTTCAAATAGAATTTATAAAAAATCGCAGGTAAAAACTCTAACGTTTAATGATAGACAACCATTGAATAACTTTTCTATAAAATTAAAAAAAAAAAATTTTTTTTTTTATTAAGATCATTTCGAATCATAAATCACTGACGGCAGAGGAGATTACTGACGATTACTTGGCCTTGGCAACGTAAGGAAAATAACACTTCATCGAATCATGATAATAATATCGTGAAACTGTTTAACCGCCTACAACAATATCAAAGAAAGAAGCTTTTATCTATGTTCGCTGAACTACAGGTAGCTTCTTTTGTGTCAGCAGCTAATATATCGTTATTTAATCATAAGTTATATGATGAATGTTTTTAAAACGGCCACTGCTTCCTTTATGATTTACGACTTACGATTTCTACGACATTTATTCCCATTTAGAAGAACTTAGTACTGCATAAGTGTTTCGTGTCATAACTAGATTTATATTCAGTAATAAATAGTAAAGCACATAAAATCCGCAGCAAGCAATATACGGATGCGGATTAATTTATCTTATGTTTCATGATTATAGAATTCTTTTAAGTCATTTTCCGAAACCATTATTAATAAATTTTAAACCCAGAAAAAGGAAAAATATATATGAAAAGTCATTTTTCATTTGTAATTATTTCAAAGATATAAAAATTAAAATAAAATTTAAATGAACATTTTGAAATTATATTTATGGCCCGAAAAATCAGATCTAAACAGAAGGGTCTAATAATAAACTTTTTAGTAGCTTATTGAAAATTGTTCAACTAAAGCACAAACTTGAAGAATAAATACTTATTATCCTTTTATAACATTTCATAACATTTTTATAACATTGAGCTAAAGAATAATTCGAAACCAAAGTATCTTTCATTCAGCATTGGAAAGTATTAGATATAAAGATTTTAAAAATAATACGGAAGCAATTTATATTCAGAAAAAAAAACGAAAAGGCAAGAAGTGGTTCACAGAAAAGATCTTTGAGGAAACAAGCTTCATGAATGCCTGCCATATTAAAACCGGTCAAGGTGTTCGGCACAAATACATGAAAGAATTTTTCAAAAAAAGGCTGTAAACAACAGGCAGATGGAAATATATCTGAATTTTATGGCAAAATTGGAAAAGAACGGTATGATATAAAGCGAAAAACAAACCATTGGAGGAAATTGTGGTAAGCTAGCGGATTTAAAAAAAAAAATCCCCATCCCCACATATATCCCCATCTCCATCCCCATCCCCACATATATCCCCATCTCCATCCCCATCCCCACATATATCCCCATCTCCATCCCCATCCCCACATATATCCCCATCTCCATCCCCATCCCCACATATATCCCCATCTCCATCCCCATCCCCACATATATCCCCATCTCCATCCCCATCCCCACATATATTATTACAGTAAGTCTCGAAATCAGTTTTGTACCAAATATAAGCTCCTGTCATGCTCAAATACCATGAATACCGAGGGACCGTTGGATTCAGAATTTCACGGGGAGTTGGCGGATCGTATTCTCCACTTTTGTTTTTCTTTCTAAAATAAATAAAGTTGATACATCCATTTTGCTAGGCTTCAATATTGGAACGGTGGTAGGTCTGTAGATCAATACGGGACAAATTGGACCTTGAAGATTTTGATGCGTACAACAAGACCCGAATAATTCCCTCGGAACTATCGGATATTTGCGTTTTTAAGCCCAAAAACATACTATTTTCGAGATAATGCAAGGTATAGGGTTCGCATCCACACAACCTTACGTTAAGTGTTTTTTTTTAAATCTATTTATTGAATAATAATACAATCAGCCACTGCTGGAGGGCTATAAGCATTAGGGCTAAAAGTTCTCATTCATACAATATATACAAATAATAAAGAAATAAATATAAATATAAGAAGTAAATAAATAATACTGATGAAGAAGGTAAATAAAAAATAAATAAATAAAATAAAAACTTCTAAACACAATCATAACTATATACAATAAAGAAATAAATATAAATATAAGAAGTAAATAAATAATACTGATGAAGAAGGTAAATAAAAAAAAAATAATAATAAAAAAATAAATAAAATAAAATAAAATAAAAACTTCTAAACACAATCATAACTATATACAACGTTAAGTGTAGTACTGTCATTTAATTGTAGTACACATGTCTCATTTCGTCGACTAGAGGCTTCTATGATCGCGAGAGGAGTTTATATTATTTATCGATGTTGTTTTTGACCGGCCAGCCAAATCATCGTTAATTCTAACCCAAATCTCAAGATTGAGCCATCAGTTTTGAAAGCTCCCTTCTCCTTCTGGTGGGCAAACTTTATTTGCGAATAACTAAAAAATTGCACACTTTCTCCTTGGTTATGCCCATGATTATATAAAAGATTACTAAATTCCCTACAAAAGGGAAAAAAATCATAGAAATCGGACAATTTTTAGCAAAGATACAACTTATTGAAATTTATAAACATGTTGATTCCAAACATTAATGAAGATTTAATTTAATTTTTGTTTCCTTTTTGATTATATTTATCGATAAAGTAACAATTGATTTCTTTATCTTTTGATACGTTGATAATTATTTCATTTTCTTATTAATTTGGCATTTGATAACAATATGCTGTGCGAATTTTTCGCACGGGCCTACTAGTATATTAAATTCTAAAAACAAAAATTCCAGCAACATCTCAATCAAGGGAAACTCGCGAATGAAGAAAACATGGACCTCGATCCACAAGAGGTTAATACTCTGAATGTGGAAATAACTATCGGCGATGTATAGCCTAACACTATTTAAAGATAGAAAAGAACACCTAAGAATAGAATTAATTTTCAAGATGTTACAATTGGCTCAAAAATATGAAAGAAGGAAAGGATACCAGAAGTTAGGAACACGGGCCTAATGTGTCCTATCCTTCAGAAGGGCTGTAAGTTTATGATAGTTGCAGAAATTAAGAACATCTTCTGGTTGCCTTATTGTTACTATGAAAATATATTAAGCAACCATCAAGCAAGATTCAGGAAGGAAAGAAAGGAGTGCATACCAGGTGTTTGAAAAACGATTGAAAGGATCTAAGGATGTGCACGCCCTATTTGTAACTTTCTACTCAGATTCCGTGGAGAGAAATTGCCTTTGGAAAATCATGACAAAGCAAAGATTTCCCGAGAAATTGGTAAGATCGACAAAAGTGCGTAAGAATTATTTTAAATATTGAGTTCTGATACATCTAGGAAAAATAGCTCGCCATTTAGGACGTGGTAAAATGCTTATTTACCAACTTCTCGGCATTAGCCTAGCCATCTAGGAAAAAAAGTTATAGAATGAAGTAAGAAGTTATTTAGTGTATTATGAAACTCATTCCTTCTAAATTGAAACTAGAAAAAATCTCATAAGATTCCGAGACAGTTCAACTAATTGTAACATTTCATACCACTGACCTTTATTCCATTTTTAAAAGTAAGTGCACGTCTTCTACATCCTTAGTAATTATAATACAATCAAATCATATAAAAATAAGTTGTTGTTTTTTTTTGCACCAAGACAATTTTTGAATCCTCCTCCCTTTCTTAAGGACACAAACCAAATATGTTCCCGTTCAATAGTGCTGCACCAACTGACTCATACAAACCTAAAAAATGTTTTGAAATATATTCGAAAATCATTTTCATATATTCAATTGGCTTACCTACCTACCTACGTGGCTCTACAACCCAAGGTGGGTCTCAGCCTCCCCGATGAGCCGCCGCCATTCGGTCCGATTTTGTGCTACCGCTCTCCAGCTTCTGATCCGTAGAAGGCTCCGTGCGTCCGCTGCCATCCATCGACCCATCAAAGCCTTGGCCAACCAGGCCGTCGTGTACAGTGAAGGGCGGTGTCAACTACTTTTCTAGGAATTTCCTCCGCTTCCATCCTTGCGTCATGGCCAGCCCAACTGAACCTCCCCAGTTTTATAAAATTTACGTCCATATCTCCGTAAAGGTCATAAAGCTCCCTGTTCTTCCTAATCCTCCATACATCTCCATCTCTCACTGGACCAACTATTCACCGTAAGATTTTTCTTTCAAAAATTAAAAGACTATATTCATTATTTCTTGAGATGTGCAGGTTTGGGACGCATAGGTAAGAACTGGATGTATAAGAGTCTTGTATATGACCAGTTTAGTGCCCCTGGTAATAGAATTGCTGCGGAGAGTTTTCAGTAAAACAAAATATGTCCTATTTGCCGCAACCAGCCTTTCCCTTATCTCAGCAGAGACATCGTTTATGGGTATCACTAACGATCCCAAATACATAAACTCGTTCACATTTTGGAATGTGAAAGGGCCTACAATTAGTGGAACCATTCAATTGGCTTAATTAGTTGAATAATTATTTGTTCATTCAACAGTAGTATTTTATTTATCTAATCTATACTTCACTGGGATGTAAGGGCGACATTAGCGCTACTAGTGATAAAATAAAGGAAGCACCTGATCAGCGCTATTTAGTCAGTGAACAACCTTCTATCTGTGAGTACTAGTAACCCAAGTGTTATCATCGTAGTTTAATTGTTGTTTCTTTAAGATGAGTAGATTTTCGAAAATAGGAACACTTCCACCAATCGAAGTATTTGCTCTTAATAAAGCATATTTAGATGATCCACACCTCGATAAAGTTAATCTAGGAATAGGAGGTATTAATCTATCATTATTTGACAGTGATGCTAGCTTTATTTTCTAATTGATTAATTTAGCTTACAGGACCGATGATGGAAAACCTTGGGTTCTGCCCGTTGTTAGAAAAATTGAACAGTTGATGGCTAATGATGAAGGCTTAAATCATGAATACTTGCCTATGTTGGGTTTAGATTCATTTTGTCTTGCTGCTACGAAGATGGTTTTACGTCATGACAACCCTCTTGTTTTGAGTGGATTGGTAAAGAATATTAAGAAGTCTATTGGAGGAGTCAATTTGGACAGTCTGTCACTGGTGTGTATTTTTATTATAGGCATTTGGAGTTCAGTGTTTGTCAGGTACTGGTGCGTTGAGAGTAGCTGCTGAATTTTTGTGTAGACAGCTTGGATACACTTCTGTATATTCTTCAGAACCATCATGGGGTATTTTGTTAATTCAGTATATTTATTATTTTATTTTGTTGCGTTAAAATAGTCTTTTAATTTTTTTTTTTTTTTTTTTTTGACAGAAAATCATCATCTTATATTCAAAATGTCAGGTTTCCCAAATACAAGAACATATAGATATTGGGATAAAGTAAATAGATGTTTAGACTTTGATGGTAATTTAATTATTTATGTTAAATCAATTTTTTTTTCATTTACGCAATTAGCAACTTAATATTTTTTTTTTTTATTGTAGGTATGCTTGAGGATTTAAATAATGCCCCAGAAAATAGTGTCATTATTCTTCATGGATGTGCTCATAATCCAACGGGTGTGGACCCCACTGAAGAGCAATGGAAAAAAATAGCTGATGTCATTAAGGTAACTTTACTTGATATATTTTATCATTTAGTTTTATTTCAATCAATTTAGTTATAATTTTCTCATTTGCTGTTAAATGGCAATGATTGATATCTAAGTACAGCAAACAACTAATAATTGATTAATAAGTACTCAGGAATTTAAATTTTTTATAAACTCATAATTCATCATCATATTATTAAAACAACTAAAGAGATTACACTTAAATTTACATGGGGAAATTTCAAGTATTAATTTATTTACTTTTTTTATTAAATTGGCTATTTCATTGTTTATTGTAAATTTTAAATGGTACATTGCTTTCATGAATTATTTTTATTGTGACATTTTTATTTTGGACATATAGGTTCTCATATGTCAGTTGAGCATCTTCACTGTTTTATCACAATATAAATATAAATTCTGAAAGAAACCAATCTGTTTTGATTTTTAAGAATTTATTTGATAAATATAAATATTCTATGCAACCAAATTTGTTGACATCCTACAGAATAACCCACCCATATTTCCCAATGGGTCATATTAAATCCCGTGAAGTATTAAAATGAAAGTTCTAATTTATTTAAAAGTAATTTTTTATAATTAATATGTTATTTACAGAATAATTAAATTAATTATTTTCTTCATTGACAAAGTATTTTTATATATTTTTTTTTAAATTCCAGTTTCTTATAGAACCTTAGCCTTCTTTTAAAATTCCCCCAACATTCTCCCCAGTTCTTCTTTTTTTCTCTTTTTATTTCTACAAAGCTGCTTCACTATATCCCATTTCTGTCGGTAATCTTCCGTGGCATGTCTTGTATTTCTTTGTAGCATCCTTGCATAAGCTTTGTTCTTATCTTGTTCTACTATTTTACATTCTTCCTCTAACCAACTGTTATTTCTTTCCTTCTTTTTCTTCCCATTATCTCTTCAGCAATTTTGCCAGAGATAAAAACTTTTACTACCTGCTGTAATTCTGTTTTATTTCGGCCTGTGTTTTGTTTTTGTCAGTATTACCATTCTCAGGCATTTAAATTATTTTCTCATTGGAAAACAATGCTGGTTGGTTTGAACATATTCATTACTTGCTACATTATTCCTTTAGGACTTCACATAATGGCTCTAATCTTAATTTATGCTTAGATCAAATTGCTTGGCTGTCCTTTCGAATTTCTCAATCGATCCTGCCAGAGCTGACAATGTATTAATAAGAACATCGTCTGCATATACTAGGCATTGTAAATAAAAGGCATTGGAGTCGGTTGTTAATCATCCCACCAGGATTGGTCCGTATTGCTCTCATAGCCTGCTCCAGTGCTAGATTAATAAAAAGGACTGGCAATATAGGGTCTTCCTGCCTCAAACTCTGTTTTACTTCAAAGCTACTTGAAAGTTCATTTTGAATTTTGACTTAACACTTTGTGGTTCTTTGTCTCATCTCTGTCAAAACAATCAATTTTTTGGGAATTTCAATCATTCTCATAGTTTATGTTAATTCCTTTCTGCCTACAGAGTCCTTATAATCAATAAAGACATGGTGCAGATCCATGTCATGTTCGTATGCTTTCTCTAACATCTATCTGACAGCAAAGATGTGGTCTACTGTTGATCTATTTTTCCTGAAACCAACCTCTATCGGAGCGTGTGCACTGATCAAGGATATATTGTTGAATTTTCCTCTTGATCTTATTATTAGGGCATGCTTAATCGTGTTTTTGATAATGAAACCTTTCCCAAACAAGTTATTTCTCCTTGTAGTACCCCTTTAAAGCCACAACGTTCATCTTATATCTCTGCAGTTCTCTCTCTAGTACTTTACTACTTCAGTTTTAATAGTCCTTTTCTTTGTGATTGTCGTAACCTTAGATCCATCGGGCTATTTTCTTTTTTCTGTTTCGTAACAGTAGTTTTTTAGATGGTATAGGGTTGTTAGCTCTATGACCCTCCCTTCCCCCTCCCCCAGTCTTAATTAATTGAATATATTACTTATTTTTATTTTTAATTAAAAGTGTAATTCTATATAAACCGTGATGCCCAACATATCTCAGAACTATTCTCCTTCGTTTTCTGTTCAATGTATTTTTAATATGTCGTAGACTTTAAATACCAATATTTTAATTTTTGAAAAATACCCAACCTGTGATTAGTAGTATAATGCTTTTGATAAGAATTAGTTTTTTCTCAAAAATGTTATGTTTCAAGGCTTTAAAATGCATGGGCCAGATATATTATGAGAGATCTTTACTAGGTATTGATTTCTACATCAAAATCTTTATACCGTATTATGTCCCATCTCAATCTGTTGACTAACCGACCGAGCTTGGTGTATTCAAACCTCTTACTTTTTCAATGACTTTTATTGAAGTTGTAGTGCCAATTTAAGGATCAGAACTCATATCTGTCTCTCTTCTCTATAAAAAGCTTTTTCTTTTGACTCTTCATTTGCCAAGATCCATTGCTAAAAAAAGACGGCAAAAAAAAAACACCACTGCCAAAACTCCCACATTGGATAGCTATCCTTCTCCCTAATGCGTTTGGGGTTTAAGTAAAATCAGCAAAATATGTTTATTTGTATTTACAATATAATATTATCAAAATAGTATAATCATTTTGTGATGCTTCATACTTCACCACTATTTTTAAAATAACAATTTTCTAAATAAGTTTTTAATAGTCAAGCAAAAATATTTCGCTATCTCTGAACATATACTAATCCATTATTGTACTCACTTACTAAGAATAAAAAAGTCGAAGTCTATTACTGACAGTATAGAAACCATATCTGGATATATCTTCTTATTATTTTTTTATTAAAAATATCAAAAGGTTTCTGTCAGTGTTATTCAAAGTACCGAGTGGATCATAGAGCTATTCTTCTCCATTCACTTTTTCAATAGATTTTTAGTTTGTCAAAGACTATATTAAATAACAATAGTTTAATTTTTAAAACTCAAATATGTGATAAGTATACCATAGCACCTAAGAAGCTTTCAACTAAAATTATGGTTTATCCCAAAAAGTGTACATTTTATGACTTTAAAATGCAAGGTCCGGTATAGTGTCAGAGATACTACATTGGGTGTTAATATCCTTGTCTGAATATTTAGAACACTTTATCCCACCTGTATCCAGTAACTTTTAAAATTAGGATTCCTCACTTTGAAATTTCCTTTCGTTTGGTACCTGATTTATCAAAATTTACCTTTCCTTACAGCTGGAAAAGAGATTTATACTACTATATTGCATTTTGTGTAAGTAAATTAGGTACTAAATAGTAGTTTTATTTTTTTTAAATCCTTAATATTTCAGTTATAATAACAAAACCATATTCCTTCGAACCATTTAGTTTATTCAATATTTTTATTTGATTTCTGTTTTTAATCTTTCATTAAATCATAGTTGAGTTGCTACATATTTGCTGATTTTTACAGAAAAAATCGTTGTTCCCTCTCTTTGATGTTGCCTACCAAGGATTTGCATCTGGTGATCCAGATAAAGATGCCTGGGCTGTAAGATACTTTGCATCAGCTGGATTCGAACTACTCGTTGCTCAATCATTTGCAAAAAACTTTGGATTATACAGTAATAACTTTTTTTTTCATTATCTTTACAATATATCAGTAATTAACAATACATTCAATAATTGTTTTTTTATTTTTGAGTCTAGCAATCAGTATAGTATCAAAATTTGAAATATAATTGTTCTTGGAAGAAGTCATGAATACATAGCGTTGCGGTTTTATAATATAGAGGTCATTATCGTTCTCATTTAATTTTTAAACTAAATTTTTATAGGCAGGAAAAACATTGATATATTACCATTAATTATATTTTTCTGAAGAATTTTTTATATAACAAAGGAATTAGTGTATTTCACTATTATATTTAATACATAAATAAGTATCTTTTATTTTTTTTTTAATGTAAAAAAATTTGGACTGATAATAATATTGTATTCAATCATCAATTATTTACAATCAGGAATATTGAGTTTTCCTTTCAGTGTACTTCTTGATATAATTAATAATTGAATATTTCTAATTTTTTTCTAGACGAAAGAGCAGGAAATCTCGTCTTTGTTGTGAACTCTCAAGAATGTATAGCACCTATTAAATCTCAAGTATCCATCATAATCCGAGCAATGTACTCTAACCCTCCCAACCATGGAGCTAGGATAGTTGCTAGTATACTCAATAATGCTGATCTTACTGAGGAGTGGTGAGAATTTTATTTATTTGTTTATATATAATGCAGCTAGTATCAAGAGGCTATATTATTAATTTTACTAATTTTCACTCAAAGCTTCTTATTAGGGCACATCCATCAATGTCACGGCAGTTGATCGTAAAATTAAAAAATAAGTTGCTCATTGTCAATCCAAAAAATTATATTGATTCAAATGTTATTATATTACAGTTAATTTCTTTTTTTATCCATATTTCCTATCTTTTCTTTTATAGACTATATTTTGTTCTCAAGTAAAAGGCCATTTGGTCACTAATTTCTTTTTTTGTTTTATTATTTTAACGACAACCTTTCTGTATAAATCTATTGGCATTTTATTTGAGGACAAATAAATTTTATTCTTATTCTATGTGAGACTGCCTTATAGGTTTTTTCTTTTCTAGTTACCTACATAAATTTTCTCAACTTTCACCTACTTGATTTTTATGCATCAAAAATAAAATTTATTATTGTGTGTAGAAAAACTTATATTCCAATGATAATAGCAAAGAAATTTACATAATAAAAGTGAAATGAAAAATAAATTTTGTTAACTAAAACAAAAATTAGTTTGTTTCGTGTCATTATTATCATTCATTTAATGAATGCATGATGACTCAATTTCTCATGAAATCGTCATTAGGAGCCAACTACGATTAATTAATTTATCTTTCAGTATTTGAATCATATTTTGCAAATATTGATTTTTTGTTACTTAGTCTAATGTTAAATTATTTCAGGAAACAATGTCTGAAAACTATGGCTGATAGGGTGAGAGATATGAGGATTCTTCTTCGGAATAAGCTGGAAAGTTTAGGTACTCCTGGTAACTGGCAGCATATAACTAGTCAAATTGGAATGTTTTCCTATACCGGGCTGTCACGTAAGTCATACTGTAAACTTTTTATTGCGATAGTAACTAAATTATGACTTCCAAGAATAAAGTTATTTCCACCTTTTTGTTTTTCCTAACAAACAACAGCTTACTAAACTTAAGCTACAGTTACAGTCCAAGGGTCCCGATATTCGTCTCGACTTCGGCCGGGATTGTTTCGAATTTTGCCTATCTTAAGTCTCTGAAATGGTCATTTTAAAAAATGTTTGAATGGGAGATGGATAAATGTAAAGATAGATACAAGCATAAATAATTGTTATATCTGATATAAACATATAGGATGCCGGGGACCGTAACCGCAGCTAACGTGTTAAACCCTTTATCCACTTTTATTAGGCTATGTAGGTTTCTAACTTTGAAAAACTGATTAAAATGAGAATGTTATTTGATGTTAACTAACATTAAAATATGTTAGCATGTGATTTTAAAATTAATATCATTTTCAAAACTAAAACTTCAATTTCATAATATTTAATAATAAAGAAATGTGAACAGTTTAAATAACATGTTAGTATTTCAATTGATATGTTAGCATGCAACCTTAAAATTTATCATATTTTTGAAAAACCATCTCTATAATCCCCGACAATGGACCTCATTATTGAAGAAATTTAAAATGGAAAATATATCTTATCCAAAAAAATGGAGATGGTCATAAGTGAATAATGAGAAAGTATTTCTATGATTTTTGTTAAATTCTTTTTGTTATCAGATAAAAACAACCAGTACTTTTATTTTACTGATATTTTAGAAAATTTGAATGAGAATTTTTAGGAAGTACACAAATGATTCGAGTTTTGAAATTACTTGGTATTTTTCTGTTGAAAATTAGTCAGATTGTCAAAAGTAAATGAGTACCACCCATCTCTAGTTTAGAATTTTGTGACATTATTTTCTTCTGTCTAATTGCTTTGTGAAAAATTTTGTTACTATCACTTTAATCCTTTGACTGCGAGACCTCATAATGAATTTTTCTTCCTGATGGCGGGTTCCGAAATTCGTCCCTTAAATTTGTTTAAAATACTATTTTGAGTCATCCTGAAAGATATTAACTTTCGAAAATGCATTTAAAATCTTTTTATTTAATTTTTAATAACAAAGACGAATGCCTTCCCGACCAGCTTCTAATTGGAAACCGGAACGACCGAACTGATATAGCTCCACAGGACTAATGAATGCATCGACCAAGCCACAAGGCCAACGGTGGAAGCGAGGCTTTCCCCTTCCGCTGCAAGTGGTAATAGCTGAGGCGGGAAGGCAGGTATCCCACCTGCAAGGATGACCAAACTCCTAACGGGGAGGCAAGTGCCCCGTCCACACAAAGTGTCCCGTCTAAAAAGCAAGCAGAGCAGGGCATTCTTGGTTCCTTTGTAATTGTGATCTCCTAAGTTACTATTTATTTGTGTTGTTTTTTCATGTATTCATATATATTTTGACTTTTTATATAATACTCTTAATTATTTTTTTTTTTTATTGTTTACAGCTTCTCAAGTGGAAAAATTGATCCTGAAATATCACATATACCTTTTGAAATCAGGACGGATAAATATGTGTGGCCTTAACAGTAGAAATATAGACTATGTTGCTAAAGCAATCAGTGAGGTTGTTTTAGATGATCTAGATACCAATGAAATAGATGTAAAAAGTGCCAAACTATAAATATCAATTCAAAGTTTTATGACTGGAGCTAGTGCCTTTCTGTTAATGTATAAAATAATAGCCATCAATTACTGAAAAATATTGGGTTTTTCATCTCTTGTAAGTTTAAATTTGTTGCTAAATGTAAATGCCTTGCATTGGGTAACTGATGCCTAATGCTCAATTACTATATCAAGTAATTTCCTAAGGATACTTAAGGATAAACTACTGTTTTAATTGCAAATGTAGCAGATATATATATATATTTCCAATACTATGATCTAAAGAAGAAAAATAAATAAAAAGAGTTCTATTGTTTTTTTTTTAAGGATGGGAAGAATTTATTTATTTATTAATTATCGAGGGAAAGTAATATAAGATGAACTAAGTACAGTAGGGTATCAATTATTTAAACGAAGAAGGTTACAGTTCAAATGATTGATGAAGTCATTATATATCAGCTTAATTGTATCTAGACTTCAAAAAATTATAAAGATAGTATAATTACTTACGATAATATATATCTGCTATACAAAGTTATTTTTTTATATAAATTAAATTGTTGAATTTATCTAAATATTTATTTTATTGTGAATATAAAAAAAAATCAGTTATTTTTAATTTATTTATTTTACTATTAAAGAAGCTAATTTACATTACACATATAGTCCATTGAAATCGAAGGTAAGCCCAATTTTCAACATTTACCCTAATATTTTTCATATTTTTATCCAAAAAACACCTATCATTTATTTATTTTCACACTCTAAGAATTAGAAACAATACTTTCCTTATCTAATATAGGTCGGAAAGTAAAATCAAACAGCACTTTCATTGGATCATTTCACCGGTGTTTGATCAGGCAATAAAGTACTAATATGATTTGTAAACATTTAAGATACCATGCAGGCTTCATTAATCTAACGTGATTAACAATTGGGATGGTTATTCCATTATTTTAAAAGTCGAATGAATAATAAAATAAATTTGAAATATACCAAATGCAAATAGAAACTATTAAGATTCTAATAATTTATCTTATCTGTTAAAAAAACCTGTCAACTTCACATTAATATTTTGTTATCGTTTGTTAAAAGTCCAAATTGGATAAAAGACTGATTTGTATATTAATTAAATAAGTGAGAACTGGATTGCTAGATAACGAAAATATGTATTTCATGTTCTCAATTGTTAATGAAGGAGATGTACTATTAGGTCATTTATTTTTGATTTTTTTTTTTTTTAAATAGGACTCATTCGAGCTCAAAATTTTGAGAATATTTTTACTAAGGAAAACTTGTTTTGAATTAATAGAATGATGATCAGCCAAAACTCTATTTATTAATTTGTGATTTAATGGAAGAGGGGATATAATATCCATGAGCATTGCAATTTTTTATTGCTTATATTCACTATATTAAAAAAAAAAATTTGTTCTATAAACACAAACCATTATGTAATAACAACTGAAGATCTGAACAAAAATATTGATTTATGGAAGTTAAATTATAGAGATTGATTGGTTCAACTGCAGATAAAAGTGACTTATCAAGTTTTGGTAAATTCAAAGCTGCTGTGTTAATCTAGTCCAATGCAAGTAAATAATATTAATATTTTTTTAAACATTTCTTTTGAGAACTAAATGTTTCATCATCAAAAATTATTGAAGGTGTTAATAAGAATATAAATCTCTTTTATCAATAGAAGAAATGTGTTGTCAGCGATGCTATGATTGACTATCGCATTACAAGGAAGTTCAGAATATTACTAATTAAAATAAAGAAATCAATACCTTTTTGTGTTTAGATAAATGTTTGTGATTGTATCGACATTAATATGAGATAAATTGTTAGTATTAAGTGTTAATTTGTATATTTTCAAAAAATCGAGAGATTGCCACATCATCTTAAAATTTATCTTTAAATATATATTAGTTAAAATATTTTGAGATCATTGAAAAATTATTATTCTGGCTATATTGAATAATTAATTATTAAATTGTTAAGACATATCTTGCCTTCATTGTTTCATAGTTGTTATATAATTCCTAATAAATGTAGTAATGTGCTGTGCTTTTATGCTGTCAATTGTCAGTGGTGATAATATATATATATATACATATATTAATAAATATTTGAAAAACAATTTCTCAAGCAGATTAATTTTATATTTAAAATATAATATTAAGTATTGAGATTTCCATATTAACCTCATAATTAAAATATCTTAAATTTGTCTTAATTATCCCAGCAAAATTGTAATTTCGTAATCCTCTGTAAGTTCCATATTTAGTCATATAATTTTTAAACAACCGTTGCCATAATTTTTATTGTGAAGATCAAACATTATTATAAATACAATACTCATATTTTTTGTTGAATGTGTTATTCTATCAGTGAAAAATATATATGTTACATGTTAGTCATTGTTTTTTAGATGCTCCCTCAACTTCCTTTTCAATTACAATGTTTAATGTTTTTTTCTTCCTTCCTATCTATTTTTGTTATACTAATTGGTGTACAGGTTATCTACCACCCTATTCTAGCGTGATTTGGAAGATTAAGATGCATTCTGCAGGTTCGCCATCAAAAGAATGGTGGCAAAAACCCAATATCAACTTTGCTTCTCTCTAAAAAAAATATGTTCACACATATTGCTGTCAGGTGGTTTAAATCGTTCCCATATTGTAGCTATTCACAATATATATTTTTTCAGAACCGGCCTTGTATCTGGAGTAAAGATTTTTAGGAGAAACAAAAGTTGATATACGTTTTTCGCTCATCAAATATGATTTTTTATAGTGATTGAAAAATTAAAAATGCACAAAATTATTGTCAGACCCTTTGAAATTTTGACGACTATAAAAATGATTTACAACTTTCTTCAAGTATTTGTAGAGCGAAAGGCTGAAGAGTTAAGAAGACAAAAAATGTAGACTAAAATCAAATTCATGGAAAATGTACATTTAAGAGTCAATTTTTAAAGAACTCCAACAAATAGGAAAACAAGAACAGGAACATTTTGAAAAGTAATTTTATTATCAGCTTTAATTTTAAATAGAACAAGTTTTTTTTTTTTTTATGCAGCACTATTTTTGAGATATAAGTGGAAAACTGAGAAATGAGCAGTGCCCCCTCTCCTTTCACCAGGGGTAGAGACAGGGACTTTGTGCATTTAACTCCTAAAGTCAAATTCTCCCTCTCTGTGTACTCTACTCTCTTTTGTGTCGTTCGTAGACGGATATAATTCCAGTCAAGTAATCTAAAATTAGTAATCATTTACTTTTCTTATTCTTCTCACTTACCTTTCACCCTTCACTCTCTTCCATATCCATACCATTATTGTGTTTATATTATTACATTTACTCATAGTATTTTATTCTCTTGATTTATAAAACTTGATTTTTCAATTCTTTTCTATGTATATGTTTTGTTAGATTTCACTACATCTTATCTTTTCTATTTATTTTTATTATTTTCTTTATATATCTTTATATTTCTTAATATTTCTTTTCTTTGTTTTTAATTATTGTTCTATGTTTATCTCACTTCCTCTTAAAACATTAAGACATCAACTTATAACAACCATTTCAGCTAATTCATTTCAATTTAACCACTTACAATTTGTTTCTCTTAATATTCCATTTCTTTGTTATTTCATTTTTCATTACTTTGTTAATTTCAATAAATTGTTACCCATATTTTATCTTAATATCTTAAATTGTTACCCATAGTTTCTCTTAATATTCCATTTCTTTGTAATTTAATTTTTCATTACTTAGTTAATTTCAATAAATTCTTACCCATATTTTATCTTAATGTCTTAAATTGTTACCCATAGTTTCTCTTAATATTCCATTTCTTGTTATTTCATTCTTTATTACTTGTTAATTTCAATAATTGTTACCATTTTATCTTATATCTTAATTGTTACCCATAGTTTCTCTTAATATTCCATTTCTTTGTTATTTCATTCTTTACTACTTTGTTAATTTCAATAAATTGTTACCCATATTTTATCTTAATATCTTAAATTGTTACCCATAGTTTCTTTTAATATTCCATTTCTTTGTTATTTCATTTTTCATTACTTTGTCAATTTCAATAAATTCTTACCCATATTTTATCTTAATGTCTTGAATTGTTACCCATAGTTTCTCTTAATATTCCATTTCTTTGTTATTTCATTCTTTATTACTTTGTTAATTTCAATAAATTGTTACCCATATTTTATCATTGTTTACTTCATCACTTTATTACCTTTACTTTATAATTTCTTAAGTTTGTTCCATTATTTCATAAGCTCAAAGCCAGTTCTAAGTGAAACTCCTTGCTGAACACACCTCCCTGAAGAAGACCTGCAAAGTCGGGTCGAAACGTTGGCTTTTAATAAAATAGTTTTACCACTGTTTAGCATATTTATGACCGCCACCCCGGACCATCTCCTTCCTTTATAATGCAATGGTCAACTATCAAATATTCAATATGATTTATTTATTTTTACTTAGTAATTTGACTGAAAACCACAACCAACTTCTCTTTAAGTAATCCAAAATAATATCTACTTTCTTGGAGCTAAGAAATCAGATAACACAGTTATGGTTTAACTAGATTAATATTTTCAAAATGTGGAGCACAGTAACTCAGTAGGTGGGCACTGACTTTTAGAGCTCAATGTCCCAAGTTCGAATACGGCTGATGACTAGTAATTTTTCATTACCTGTGAATCGACCCTGGAGTCAGGAGACCCTTCTAGAGCACATCAAGCCTCTAGAAAGTGGATACTCTTAATTAAGAAATTAATTGAGAGAAAAAACTTGGCAGTTGAGCGTGATATTGGCCCGATCATCTCTCTGCAAAACCGTTGGCCTTGTAAAAATACTTCCTCACATAGTAGTGCACCTAAGACTCTTCCCCTTCACCCTTCACGGGTATTTTACAGGTTTTTTTTTTTTTATATTTTCAAAATTAAAATTGCATTAGGTGATTGAGAGATAACACTTTCATATTAAAAAAGATTAATTTATACAATGGTATGATAATTTTCATTAAACATAGATATACCAAAACAATAGATACATATAAATACAACTATGAAACCTATTTATTTCATAAACTGGTCCTGATGTTTTGCTAGTATTTTGGCAGATGATTTTGCATCTAGAAACAGTTGTCCCACTTCTGCTACATCTTCTCTAGTGATAGAGGAACGACCATTCACTTTTGCAGTTAAATTGGATGGAGTTAGTAACTGAACTGCATACCTGAATAACACACAGAAATAACTTAATTGTTTTAAATAAAAAGATGCCATATACACAATAAATTTCGTTTTATATTAAATTAGCTACACATTCAACCAAACATATGCAAACCTAGAATGATACATTTCATCTACAAACTGAAAAAACTGTCCAGCACTCCGACTTTTTAGAAATATTACAGTAATATAACCACCACCCTGAACCATCTCCTTCTTCAATATTATACAACCATTCAGTACTCAATAAAAAAAACAGTCATAAATTTGGATCTAGTAAATCCAACTTTTTCAGAAGTCAAATAATAAGTATACATAACCAGTAGGGTCATGGTCACCCTTATTTTCGCATTAAAAAACTAGAAGAAAATGCCTGCTAGGTAAGGTGAGCTTCCTTGCCATTTTCATTAGTTACATAATTACCTACACTTCAAGGTCTATAATTTTTTGTTTGAGAATAAAATCATCAGGATAAGCCTTTTAAGAAATATTACAATAATCCCACATTTGCAGGCTTAATTATTTAATTAATACAATGACAGAATACGATTTGAGTAGTCTAAAATCTTATAACCTCATCAAGCTACAGTATAAATTTAACCTCCATTCCCATATTTCACAGCCATTATTTTCTTAACAGTTATTTATATTAATTTAAATTGTTAAATGGAATTAACTGAAATTGATACAAGGCCATTTCTACACTATACCCCGAATTTCCCACAGGTTTGGGTCAAATCGGACCAGCCGTTTTCAAAATATGTCACTGAATCAAAAGCCAAGTCAACAGAGTCAAAAACATTACATTTACAGATCCACGGAGTTTGATAAAACCGATACCTACTTGACCATTTGTTTATGAATGTGTTGACTTCCCTCCAAATTTGGGCCAAATCGAACAAGCTGTTATTGAGATATATGCGGATCAAAGAAAATACGTTTGCACATATGTAAAAGAAAATAGTGTATGGAATTCAGTAAAATTGATACAATAAATTTTTTTTCACAGATCCATAACTTTGATCCAAATTGAATGAACTGTTTCAAAAATATATTTCTGAAACATAAGCATATCTAAGACAATATACTTACCTGCGCGTAAGTTTAAGTATTGGATAGAATTTAATTAAATTGATATAGGATCATCTAGACACCACCCCACGTAATATTTACAAATTTCATGAAAATTGGATAAATTATAGCAGGTGATATGGCTGCCATATGGATTTGACTACAAACAAACAAATTTGAATACACGGAAACAAATTTGTTCCTTGATGTTTAAAACATATATAGAGGAGATTTTTGATTCTGATAACAATAATTTTTTCACATCCTGCCAAACAAAATGCTCCTCTGCCATCGATAGTGAGGAAGGAATATATTCTCACTTTTATACTAAGATTACCTGAGAGTTGTTTTGCTTCCAATATCACTCAGCTCTGATAATGCATCTTCATCAATGCTAAGTCCTTCGGTTACAGCCCTCAACTTGACAATTTGGGCCATCTCTGGTTGGGTGTAAGGCGCAGTACGAATAATGAGCAGCCTATCGAGAAGGTCCAACGGTAGTCCATGTGGTGAAATAATGTCTGCAGCCCCTCTTAAACATAAAAAAAAGTTATCAGGATAAACATCTATTCGGCTTTAACAATCTATGTAATGATAGCATTAGTTTTAAATAAGCTTTTATTTCACAATATACTAGTTCTACAACATAATAATATGTTTAATGTAAAAATAAATAATAGGAACCCTACTAAAATAATTATATAAAATTTAAGTACAGTAAATTTAATTTTTAATTTTAGTAAATATACCTCACCTAACTTGACAACGACCTCGATTTGTAGCAAAGACTACAATAGGAGCTATCGCACTTTCAAGAGCCTGATGAAGGTAAGTGAAGGTTTCTATATCCAGCATGTGGACTTCATCAATAAAAAGCACCCCAGGCACTAGTTCAGCAATACCTTGGTCTATGTACCTAAACATTTTTTTTTTATTTATGAATAAAATTATTTGAATCAGAAATATTACAAAATATTTTGAATCAGGAAAAATACAAAATAATTTATAAGATCAAGTACCTGCATAAAAAAAAAAGTTTGTTTTCAATTAATGTTTTGTTAATCCATTATAATTTATATGATTTCTTTTTTTTTTCTTAATCAGCATGTTATTTAGAGTATAAACATGATGCGGTATGATTTTCTTTGAATAATGTTTATAGCTATACTTAATTATATAAGCTATAATTAATTTATAGCTATGCTGAAGTGGTTGAGATATCAACCAGAATATGTTAAGGTACATTCATATGGCATAATTGTCATGATTTCTTTTTCAATTTTATTTATTATTACTTGCTATTCATAGTATAAATACAATGTTTTAAGAAATTTGATTTTTTTTTTTTTGTGTGTGTATTATAATTACAGTGCCACAGTTGCACATCATAAATGATTTCACCTTATAAACTTTTTCTGTAATTGTGTACTTTTGGTGAAAAAAATCACTATAACATAAAATGAGATTAAAACAAAAAAAAAATAAAAATAGAAAATTTTGATTCCAAAAGTAATTAAGATTTACAAATGAGACTGGCTAATATTCACAAATAATTGCAAAATATTCTCACTTTTTCAGAAGTATGTGTGTATATATATATAGTCACAGTTCAAACCCAGCCCGGCCAGATCAGCCTTATTGCCATCTTTTCTCCTTTACTTCGGTCTACTTCCTCACATGTTTACCAGTTAGCACAACGCATATTAAGCTTTTAGGTATTCTTTTGCTACTAAGCTCCACGATCTTACAAGCCCATTTTATTAGCAGCAATCTAATTACGTTGATTGTATTAACCAGTTATAGTCCACTCAATTCAGTGATGCGAATCAAGTCAGTGATGGCTCATCCTTCTTCAGTCCAAATATTCCATACAATTTATTTTCTAAACCTTAAGGCGTAACTCATCCCTTAATTAACAAGTGGCCACATTTTAAAGAACTGCAAGTAGGTTAATGATTTAGTAAATTCTTAAGTTTCGAGACAGGAAGTGTGAGTACAAGTAGGTGTTCAAACATATTCCTTTCTATATCAATAACACGGAAATTGTCACTGTTTTCTATTTTATCCAGATTTATTTTGGCCCTGGTTCTTTACCGGCTTTCATCAACATTGTAACATTTAGCTATTAAATTTCCTTCATCTTTACTAAAAAGGAACAAATCATCAGCATACCCAGCCAGGTATGGATTTTTTTTCCATCCAGATTCAAATCTTTTTCATTAAACATTACCTCCCTAATGCCATGTTCTAATGCTAAATTAAACAGGACAGATGAAATGAAATCACCTTGTTTTAAACCTGAATGAATCTCAAACTTTTCAGATAAATAATTATTAATTTTAACTTTGCTGAATGTTAATAATAATAGAATATTGCTGTCAAGAAAATATTTGATCAATGGTTGAACGGTTTTGTCTAATAGACAGTGAAATACAAAAAAAAAAAAAAGAAAGAAAATCACACACATACACATACGTGATATTTCATATGAACTTGAACTTTTCCCTAATGTTGAATTCAAAACTGAGAAACGATTATGCTGAATATTCAGGAAAGAAGTAAAATAAAACAGTTGACCTGTCTAACGATGGATTAAAGTTGAACAACCTCAGTATTTCAGAGAATAAGAAATCATCAAAAATTATGTTTGAAAAGGAAATAAGATACAAATAATTTAGGCCAAGGGACCAAGGTCTAAAGTTGTAAACCAGGCAAGCTCTCAAAAATAATTATTTTATTGGGCTGTCCGGAAAATAATGCGGAATTTTAAATTATTTTAACTAACAATAAACATTCTTTCTACTTACCTATCATTAGCCTTGACAAAATAATAGTAAACATTTGGTAATTAAGGCTAATTTTTTAGAATAAAAAAATATTTAAAGCACAAACCTGTTAACAACTTTGTTAATTTCAGCTCTTAACTTGTCAGTAATTTCTGTTTTCTTTGACTTAATAAGTTGCCCCATTATTGATAAAACATCTTGCCCTCCTTGTGGTCTAGCATTTGCAACGTCTAGATCATGTAATGTCACATCTTGGATGACTTCTTTTTTTTTATGAACATCGCCTTTAGGTAGAGGGACATATTCTTCTGCCTATTTAAATGTAAAGTATGCGATTAAATACAAATTATAACAGTGAACTAAAACAATATTGCTCCTAGAAATTAGTATTAAAGCATCTTAGAAATAAATTTTAATTTCAATGCTTTCAAAATCAATGATAATACACTGTGTTAAATTAATCATCATATAACTTAGATGAAGTGAGTTAAAAGATATTGGAAAACTGCAAATAAGTACAATATATATGCAATTTCTTAGGATCATTAACAAATCTTCAAAACTTTTGTCAACAAAGTAACATGAACTGGACAATAGTCATTCGACAATAATCATAATATTAATAATTACATTTTTTCATAAATATGAAATATTTAAGGTTTTGAAGAATTTTCTGAAGTTAATTGAGAATTTAATTAAATCTGAATCAGCGTTACCTCAAGATCGTATTCAGTAGCATATGTATCACTCCTTCCTTGCCTCTTAACAGCACCACTGTTAGCCTCAATGTATATAACATCTCCAACTTCTACCTTTTCCTTGGTTAAACTTTCATGAATGCTAGGGTCTAACTTCAACTGTTTTGTACCTTTCGCTGTTTTCAAGCCAATGATCACATGGGATACAGTTTTACCATACCCTGAAAAGAATTTAAGTATAAACTATAACCAATTTGTTTTTATATTAAATATTATCATTATTACAATGGCACAACAGTCCTATAAAAACTCTCCTCCACTAAGACAACCAATCTGCACGGTCCTATGCTACATCCCCCCATCTTTTAACACCAAGTCACTTTAGATCATACTCCACATTCTCCAGCCATCTGATCTGAAGCCGTCCTAAACTTCTTTTGCCATCAGACTTCTCATATCATACAGCATCCTTTTCGGTGTTCTTTGGTCAAGTATTCTTTCCACATGCCCTATCCATCTTATTCGTGCTTTTTATATCAATGCCACAATATCAGGTCCCACAAACAATTCACGCAGTTCTTCATTCCTTATTTTCCTCCAAGTATTAAATATTACAAAATAGAAATATTGACTGTCCAGTAATCGTTACATAACACACTTTTATTTCATGCAGCATAGATCAAATTATAATTACTTAAGATTTTGAAAAGATTAATAATCTTAAAATCTAGATTATATTTAATAATTAAAAACATTATGTATGTTTGTTTTTATTGCAATCAAGGATTGAAAATAATGTAAAAACGATTATTAAACTGATGAGAGGACATAAATTTAAGAGAGACATATTACAAGTGAAACACATAGAAGAATCATTAGCTTTAAGATCATAAGATTAGCGTTAATTATCACAAGATGAGGCTAGAAAAATATATCATTTTGTTTTAAGCAGATACCCCTAAGTATATAGCAAAATATGTTGATTTTGCCTAGTAACCAATATTTTAAAGATTATTTGGAACCAAAATCACCTGATTACTAGTTTGGACATTTACTAACTGGAATTTTACAACCAGCTCAATGAATTTTATTTTGACTATAATCTATCCCTGGATCAATTATTTTCTATGAAAGAAATGCTCAATTTCTTTTCAAAATTATTTAATTACAAGATGATCTATGATTAACGACACTGGTGAAACCTACTACTAGAGGATTATACACCAATCTCTGGAAGGAGTGACATCATGTTGGCCTCAGCTGTCGACCGTGGCATTCTTGTTAGACAGTCTGATATTGTGAATTTGAAAATTATTATCTTTTGAACCAATGACCACAGGATGTTGTAGTTTTCACCTAAATGTTTGGTAATACATGCTGAATAATAAAAATATAAACAATTAAAATATGTACATACCCTGTTTAACAAAATATATAGTAAAATCATACATTAGAAACCTTTAAATAATTTATCAACTATTTGATTTATGTTCTATTTTACAGGACAGTCAAAAATCAATTCAGTACTACTTCAAAAGTGAAGTCAAAAATCAATTCGGTACTACTTCAATAGTATAACTTCTAGATAATGTGTGGGCCAAGATCAACCACATTGTGAATGACATACTGAAGGTAGCCAAGTTCAATAGTACTTCGCTATGCGATAACAATGTTTACATTAGGTTAAGTAAATATTCCATTTACTTTTATTTATCAATACCAAATTTTTAAATTAAGTTATATTCTATTATTAAATTTGATACTAGTTCACATGAGTTCCGCATGGATTACGTGTGGTTCACAATCACTTCGATCACAATTGTTCATGGAATCCTGAAAACAGACGAATGTTGTCGTCATTTATGACATCACACAATCCCTTTTCATACTTTTGATTAAAAAAAAAATATATATATTCCCTTCATGGAACTTCCTTATGTATAACCTATAAATACCTATGTACTGTAGTATATTATCTTTAATAACTGTGTATAAAAGATTTTTTTATCATTTAGATAATAAATAATCTAAAGTTATCTATTATCTTTTTATTTGGTATTCAAGTTTTCAATAGAAGTTGGAATAATTGAATTTATAATTTATTTTAACAAGCCTTATTTAGAATTGCGCAATCGTCTAGTTTATGTAACTTTTTGGATTTCTAATAATACGAAGGTTCACTATTTTCTAGTGGGAGGGAGGAGGTGCTTTGTATGCATATACTGTCTGAATTGAGATTGAGCATCATGTTTATGTAACTTTTTTAAATTCTTAGATACACGGATCCACTATTTTCTAGACATCGGAGCTTTTAATGAATAACTGTCAGATTTAAAATTGTCCATCGATTTTTGGATTTCTTAGATATAAGAGTAAGTTGTCAAGGACGCTTTTTATGAAAATAAAGTCAGATTAAAGATTGCGCGAGAAAAATGTCCAATCCCAACGAGAGTTGCAGATTTGCCAGTTAGTTAACTGTTAACTTAAAAAATTAGTTTTAATCGCTATTATTTTTATTGAATGAATTAGCTGTGTGATTATTGTTATTCGTAGATATTTTGCTTGGTATTCCGAAAATGGAGATTATTGTAGTCATTCATAAAAAAAAAAAAAAAAAAATTGTTTATTTCCAAGAAAGAAATTGACGTATTAGAGAAACAACTGACAAAGAATATCTGATAATTCTGAGATAATGAATAATGGAAATCAGCATTCAGAGATGTTATATAACTGAGCATGGATAAGGTTATAGAAGTACTTAAATGGCGAGAAAGCTAATAGTAACTGACTCAAGAGATCGGTCGCCTTCGTTCTCCTTCGGATAATCCCGAACGCATTCAGTACTCCGTGAACAAGTGTAACCGAAGTGATTATGAACCACACATAATCCGTGCGGAACTTTTGTGAACTAGTATCTTAAATTTTAAGTATAATAACAATGTGAAATATAAAAATTAAGTTTATTACAATATTTAATACCTGGCACACAACCTAACTTAAACTTTATATAACGATCAGTTCAGACTATTATTATTATAAAAAGGAAAATAGGCTACTTCTACACAAGAGTTGCTCCTCATTGATGGCTGAGCACAGGATCCATGATCACATCATAAATGGAATTCGAAAAATGGCTATTTATAAATATTCATGTGTTCACGAGTATAACCTGCCATAATTTAGACATGATTTACCATTTCTCCAAATCTTCAACTGGCCCATTTCAATCAATTTTTTGCTGAAACTAGCTATAAAAGTATTGTTGCTTTAAACTTATGCTTGCTTAGAATAGATATCAAACCCCCAACAGGTCCTTATTGGTTGAAGTTGGGGGTCTTATCAGAGAGTCCGATCATCTCCATCTACTTTCAGATACACTTAGCCATTCTCAGAATTCCATTTATAGTCTGATCATGAGATCTTGTGGCAATCAAACAAAGTGGAGTAACACTTATATATTATCAAATAAATTCTGGCTATTTTTTTTTCATCAGTTTAAAAGATCAACAATCAGTACCTCCCATTGGATTTTCTGTTTCTACAGGTGTGAGCTCTGTAACTTCACCTTCATATACTTCTTTAGTTTCTTTAATTCTTAGGCCAATAGCTCTCCTAAAATTTTCCATCAATACTTCTGTCTTTTTAATTTCAGAGCTGAACACTTCTGAACCTACCATTGGGCAAAATGGTACCTAGAAAATTCAACAATTAAAAAAAAATCTTGAAAACATAGTTCAAATAAAAGGACTGTGAAATTGGAGTACTTTATTTCCTAACTCTTGAGCCATAGCTAGAGCTATTGCTGTTTTACCAGTTCCTGGTGGTCCCGCCATCAGCACAGCTCTTCCTGCCATTTTCTTTGATTTAATCATTTCAACTACTATTCCAGCAGCCTAAAAAGCAACCATTACTCTCATAGTATCAAAACTATAATGAAGCCATAAGGAAACATAAGTTGTTCACTCACCTCTCTGGCATTTTCTTGGCCTACCAAACCAGCCGCCATTTGTATAGGCACCCCATTTTCGTCTAAGCCCAAACCTTTAATATGACTATGACTAGAAATTCTTTGTGTTTTCACAGTACTCTTAACTTCTTCAATCTTCATCTTTTTAATAAGTTGTGACCAACACTCAAAACTCAGAAGTTTAAACGCGCTATGGCAACGGGAGGTAATAGCATTGCTACTAAACAATGTCAGTTACAATGTGACCAACTATCCATATTTAAAAAAAATAGAAATCTAATTTAAAAAAATTATGATAAATAGCGGTACGACCTCAAAAAAAATTTCCTAAATAATATTAGTTTTCATAAATAAATTAAATCAACAGTTTTTCGTATTCATAAAGGAATAAGCTGGCTACACAGTATCAAAGCATGTGAACAGTAGTATTTGATATTAAGGCATTCGTTTCTATGGTCTGTTTCCATGGTAATTTATACATACGTTTTTGTGTTTTATAGTCACAAGTGGACAAATGTGTTTTAGTGGTCACAAGTGTCTAAATTTTTTTGAAATTTCGCTGATCAAGTCGAAATCACGTTAAAATTGCTAGTAATTACGCAATATATAACACTCATGATTTGCATCCTCATTGGCCCATAACACTAAAAGTTTTATAAACCTAAATTTGTCTATCGTCTTATCTTGAATCATTTGTTTATATTTTTTATTAAATCCTGCCTCAAGTATCTATTCAGACACTTCAAGCAATCCATTTTGGGTCAACAAGCAACACTTTTCATTCCCACCATGCATCAAATTAAAATTTTATTTTATACTCTGAATACTGTGTCCTTGAAAAGAGACAAATTCCTCATATCCAATTTAGGTTTCTTCTTTTCGGCTAATTTCGTCTGTAAAGCTTTATCACGGAGCTCCTCCTATTTCGTGCGAATTAAGCGTTTTATATAGCTGGGATACTTAATCAGGATGGATGATGGTAGAGCAGCCAGGGAATTATGGATCCAGACTTCGGATAGATTCAGATGGCACGCAAGATCAAAGGGAAGGTGGCTGAGGACGTGAGGATGGTCAGAGTGCCCAGAAGATTTGTTATTGACCGTAATAACTGAGAATAGGCAGTTGAGTGTGCCCAGGGCAGCTTCATGTGCCTGTCGATATTCATATATAACTAGTAGGCCCGTGCGAAAAATTCGCACAGCATATTGTTATCAAATGCCAAATTAATAAGATAATAAAATAATGCAACGCATCAAAAGATAAAGGAATCAATTGTTACTTTATCAATAAATATAATCGACATAAGAAACAAAATAAATTTAAATCTTCATTTTTGTTTGGAACCAACATATTTACAAATTTCAATAAGCTGTATCTTTGCGAAAAATTGTTGGATTTCAATGATTTTTTTTTTTTTCCTTTTGTTGGAAATTTAGTAATCTTTTATATAATCATGATCATAACCAAAGGAAAAGTGTAATTTTTTAGTTATTCGCAAATAAAGTTTCTTTTCTTTTATAACCTGTTTGCCTGAATTTTCGGGGTGATTGGACTATTTTGCTCGCCTGAAGGAGCATTTTGGAAGCCTTCGAAATTGGTGGCTCAATCTTGAGATTTGGTGAAGAATTAACGATGACATGGCTTGCCCATCAAAAACACCATTGATAAATAATATAAACTCTTCCTCTCTCGATGATAGAGACCTCACGAAATGAGACATGTATCCAATGAGAGTACTACAATTAACGTCAGGTTGTGTGGATGCCAACCACTGGCTGCTCTTCTCCAGTCTCTTCTTCTCTCTTTTCTTCTAGCTGTTCGTCTTCGCCCTCTGCTCTTTTTACTTTAAAAGAGGTTTAATGTGCTTTCTATTTCTCTCTATGATTTCCCCACCTTCATCCTTTCGCAAGCAACATGATCTTGGAAGATCCATCTTCCCGATCACTTTGACTGGAACCCATTCCGAAAAGGACTTTTCTGCACCTGAACTTTCTCCTATATGCAAGTCTCTGAGAGGTTTTGTCCCTCTGTCATATTAAACCTTGCTCCTTTTCTGTCTCTCTTGAAATATCTTCTTTATCTCACTTTCCTTTATCACCTTTGATTGAAAATGACTATTAATTAAGGGCAAGACTCCTCTCATGCGCCTACTCATCAGTAGTTCAGCAGGGGAGGGCATATCTGCAAATGGTGAATTATTTAATTCGAGCAAGCACAGAAACGGATCAGTTCCAGCTTCTAGTGATTTCTTTAGCAGCCTTTTAACGGTTTGTAAATGACGTTCTGCTAATCCATTTGCCTGATGATGCTTTGAGCTGACCATGGTACTTTTGAAATCCTACTACTTTGAAAATTCTAAAAATGAGGAACTACTCAGTTGTGATCCTTGATCTGTGATTACCTCAAACGAATTCCGTGTCATGAAAATTTTTTTAAAGATTTGATAAGACAGCTAGAACCAAAGTCCTCAAGCATAGATACCTGCAACTCTATGAGGTCCAACGCTGCCTTTCTCCATGGTCCTTCTGCTACCTCTTGCATCACGATAGGCTCCTTGCATTGAGAATTGGCATATTTTTGACATATCTCACAATTGTTTACCATATTCATAATATCATATTTTATGTTTGGCCAATAAAGATGTCCTTTTGCTTTAGCACAACATGTTGTCATCCCTTGCTGAGCATAATATATTTTCCTTAATATGTCCATCCTTAAGGACTTAGGTACTACTATCTAAAATCCTTTGAAGACAATACTATCACAAAATGTCAATTTGTCTTTAGCTGACTCATATTTTATAAGCAACGGATCTTTAGTTTTAGAACATTCTTCATCTATCCATTTGCGTAATGCTTTAAGTTCTTCATCTTTTTCGGTTTCTTTGCAAACAATGTCACATTTTTCATCATAAATTAGCATGTACTTAATCAAACAAATGACATATACTTCTTTTTCTTCCTCATATTTAGGTTTTCCAACACTTGCTCTTGACAGTGTTTCAGCAACCCACATTTCCTTTTCCGGTTTATGAATTAATTCGAATTGGTATCTTTGTAATTTTAATAATATATTATGCAGCATAAGAGGGCATAGATGAACAGGCTTTTTGTGCATCATTACTAAGGACTTATGGTCCTTTCCGGTTCAACCTTAAAAGGATAACCATAAGTATACGAGTAGCTATAGAAACGCTCGCATCCAAAGACAACAGCCAACATTTTTTTCTTAATGTTAGCGTATCTTTTTTTCCGTTTCAGTTAAACTTCTTGAAGCATATGCAAGTGGTTGACCCTCTTGCATTAAAACTGATCCTAGACCGTTGCTTGAAGCATCTACAGACACAGTTATTGGTAAACCTGAATCATAATATCTAAGGACATGTTCAGTAGTTAAAAACCAGCTTCAGAGCCTGAATAGTTGTCTGTTGCTTCTCCTCCCAATGCCATTCTACTTCTTTTTGCAATAAAACGCGTAAAGGAGCCGTAATTTACGCTAAATTTTCCTAGGTAGTTCACTTAACCTAAAAATCTTTTCAGTTCTTTTCTAGATTCAGGAGGAGCCATAACCTCTATGGCAATTAACTTGTCTTTATCTGGCTGTATATCCTTTTCAGACAATCGATGACCCATGTACACTACTTCTTTTACTCCAAACATACACTTATTCTCTTGAAATTTAACATTATCTTCCCTCGCTCTGTCTAGACAGCCTTCAAATTAGCATTGTGCTTTTCTCTCGTAGAACTCCACACAAATATATCATCCACAAAAACCTCACAACCATCCAAATCACCTTTTATTGAATCTAGAGTGGAACATACTTTGATCTGCTCTTATAAAAATAAAGAAGTCAACTTAAGTAGTAACAAAAGTAGCTTTAACACAACATTTTGCCGTCCCTTGGTGACCACAATGTATTTTCCTTAACATGTCCATTCTTAAGTAATTAGACAATACTATATTTTACCAATTTGGGGAGAGAGTGAAGGGGGATCATCCCGAGATCTCCCTCTCACCGTAGATCTGCCTGTGATACATTATTATCTTGAAAATCTTCTCTGTACAATTTATTGTTAAACTTGGAAGTATGTATACTAAAAATTTAAGTTGGATCATAGAAATTATGGTAAAAAGCACTAAATTTAAAATCCTACAAGGTTTAATAAAATTTTGTTCATTATTTATTAACTAATATCAAAATGGCATTATCCATATGACATTGCAACCATAAACAAATGAGTAACCTTCTTACGTCAGTATGGAAAGCTAGACCTCTCTAAAATTACGTTATTTCGGAATATTGAGCTATTTTTTCTTTTACGCATAAATTATTGTTGTTATATATGTAATAATTATAAGATTAATTATTATGTATATAATATTAAGTAATAATAATTATCGTTTTATGTATAATTCAATAATTATTGTATAACATTAATCCGGTACATTTTGAAATTATTTATTTAAGCAGTAAGTTGCTTTACTGTTACATATCAGAGGATCAGTTTCTCACTAATTAGTAATATTGCAACTCATTTGTTCAATTCAAGTCTTTTCATCATGACTGATGATTCTCAACAGGCATCAAGAAACTTGGAGTAAGCATTATGATTCGAATTTATTGTCAATTATATAATAGATTCATATTTATTTAATGAATTAATATGTTGTCAGCAATGGCAATAATGTGAAACAGTGTTGGATATGCTTTGCTACAGAAGATGATGATTCTGCTGCACAATGGATTCAACCCTGCAATTGTAAAGGAACAACAAAGTGGGTAAGTTCACTGTTAAACTATTAATCTGTAAATAGACATTTTCGAAAACATTTTTTGCTGAAACATTTTGATTATTTCATTGGATGTTATATACAGTCTTTGAACAATGTTCAGTGTATACTATCAATATGATAATATAGCTTGTAATCTATGTTATCAGTTTCTCTATCTTATCAGTTATCTATTTTCTCAACTTAAACTTGCAATTTGTTGAATGTCATGGGTATGATACTACTTTTTAGATTTAATACAAATTACTATTGCTGGTAAACTATAGCACTGTCACATTGAGTTGACGGGTGCATCAAGATTACTTAATTACGCTGTTCTTGGACTGCCAAATACTTGCTAGCCAAGTATATCTGCTTTTTAACAGGTTAAATTACATTCACAAACAACTAAATTAATGAGATTACAAAATATGTTCAAT